AATACCTAAGCCCCCATAGTATCTAGAGTTAGCTGATTGTGGTCTACAAATAGGGTAATAGTTAAAACCCTCAATATTGACTGTAGTGTTATAACCTACATGGGTCTCAGTTAATAGTATAACATCATATTTTCTTATCTCTTGAAGAAAAAGGGGATCTGTTATTTTATCATGATGCTTTGAAATAAGCCCACCTATGTTCCAAACACAAAATGTTATGTTGTGAAAAAAATTATTTCTCTTTTGACTGGTCATAATTGCTTTTTTAATAGTAATCTTTTAAAATTCCCTCTCACCACTGGTTAATTGTACAATAATCTTTTATTAACTTTGACAGTCAGCTTTTGGGCAGGTAATATGAATATGAAATCCTTGTAAAATAATAAAACTCTTTTCCCTCTTATAAAATAACAAACTCCTCTAACTAAGGAAAGGCAAAAATGAAATTATCTTTTTATTGTCCTATATAAATGACAATTTAAGTTTAGATAAAACAGAAAGCAAAACAAAATCTAGCTACAATTGTTTACAATATATCAAACAAAACTTAATTATAACTGGCAACTTTATCTTCTTTACTAAGGAAATCTAAATACAAATGTATCAGCATATTAAGGCTGCCCATATCCACGACCCCGACTTTGATAATTGTTATAAGTGTTATAACCGCGACCACGATATCCACCACGCCCACGATATCCACCACGTCCACGATATCCGCCTCTTGATCCGTTATTCAGGTTAACATTGCTGTTATAAAAAGGTCTACGTTTTGGTAGATCTAGTGCTTCATCAACTATATCCCGAATATTTGCTGCAAACACGTTTACACCTTGATCTGAAAGGTGATATTTATCATCCTCACTAAGAAATCTAGGGATTGCTCTGCCTTTATTAGCTAGGTTACTGTGATCACACAGATAAACTTTTTCGGTATCAAAGTATTCCTGCTTCAATAAAGCACTTATCAACTGACCTTTCATATTGAAGCTTTCGTTGTCAGCTCTAGGTGTTGGTGTAGATAAGATAACTTTTGAAGATGGATATAATATATAATAAATAATACCCATACTGAACGAATAAATGCCTTTAAGTTATAAATGATATAATCTACAGAACTTTACTAGAATACTTTAGATTAGACAAAAATAATATGGTTTAAAAGTCCCAAAAATAGAATAAACAACAGATTTAACATGGAACACAAATGATAACTACAGACAAGCAAAAAACCTACCTTTGATGATTTTATAGATTGGAATTCCCAAAACTGAATTTTGATTTTGCTCCACTAGATTAATTTCAGCCATTGATTTGTTTGACCATATATAGATATAATATCCATAGATAAAGTACTCAGAATATTGCCCCCTGAGCACCCTCTAGTTCCCTTTGTAAAATCAAAGGCATGTCACTAGGTGTGGTGGTCTATGATGTAGATGATATTTACCGACATCCTATGATATATGAGAAATACCTTGCGTAAACATTATTTATTTTTCCAGTAAGGAATAAACTATTAGTTTGAGCATGATGACTTTATTACTGCCATTAAAAGATTTTTTTTTTTGTAAATGAAGAAGAAGGTGAAATAAAAATACAGTAGTAGATGAGCTATTTTGATACACATTTCCTGCTTTCTTTTGAATATATTTAGAAATGTAAACCATACTTACCATCATGTATAACAATATAACTTTCAGCCGACTGGTTCGATGCCGAGTCTCAAATTAATTTGCGAAATAAGGGAGAAAGTGGAACTAGAAAATTAAAATGTTTGATATATGTGAAGTACTTTTATAAATAAAACCTAGGTGCCATCTACCATTAATGTAAAAGCGAAAAGGTTTTAATACTTGCAAGAATTAGCTTCTTAATTCTTTTTAATTCTTTTTTCTCTGTTTATTCGTCACAAGGATTTCTATACAAATCCTTGTTCGTCACAAAAAAATCAAACTTTCAAGAAGTACTATGAATTTCGTTCGTGTGGAGCAAATAAACTAAAAAGCTATCCCCCGAAAAGGATTAATAGACACCCAACAACAAAAATCTCTAGGAATAGGCCGTTTTAGAATCTAAAGGACTAGGTAATTTTATCCTGCAATCACCTAACTATTGTACAAATAACAGGTACACAAATAAATATTTGCTTTATTTGTTACCCCGCTTCCATGTTGAGCTAGCGGAAATGTGGATATTTCTTTTTGCGTACCAGTTCATTTTGGGGTCCTCTTCGCGGTCCGCGTTTAAATATGCCGATTTCTTTGAAAAATTAGAGACAATGATTTAAATTTTTTATATTGTATATTTATTGTTCGTACCCCGAAAATAACATCACGTCATTCGTTGAATGTCAATTGTTAAGGACGTTTTTAACCAATCACGACGCTTTGGTGTACACTTTTGAAAATATTACCCAGAATGCATTAGATTCTGAAACGGCGAATTGACTTTGCAGTCAATCAGTGAAATTTTTAACACATGCCACAAATCCATCGGGTTACAAAAATACATTTATGAATAAATACCGGAAATAATTTGTGAATTGAACATTTATATACATGTATAACAGGCTATTGGTTTCGATGGGTAAAACAAATCAAAATCTGCTCTTTACGATTCCAAAATCCATTGTATTAAAATCCGGGAAGTCGGAACAACCTTAGACAAAAATTTGCTGCACACGTGTTTTGGAAGTCGTTTTATTGTACAGTATATGATGTAGTAATAGCCAGTTATAAGGTTGTAGGGCCTATAACTATGATATATTTCCGGAGAAAATATTGCATTCACAGTCTTAAAATCACGATTTCTTCACATCTAAACAGCGTGAATCTCAATACACAAGTGTATTCCCGCATTTATATATACTAGTAAACAAGAAAACCTCCGAAATGACAGATCTACATACACGATGTCGCTTTAAAGACATTGGGCATTAAATGAAAAAAAAATATGGATAATTAACTCCAACCGTGACGTTTCACTTATAAGTAAGTGATGAAAATTCGGTTTCTCTAATTCTTCGTCAATTTATCCCTTTCTGCACCCATTGTTTTAAAAAAATTTAATCAACGTGTGGTTCGTTTGATCTCAGTTCTTCATTGGTTAAAATCCGATTATGACGTCGAATTTTCTTGCTTTCCTCTGAATTTCCTATTGTGACGGCATGAAAAAAGGCGACCATGCCTGATGACGTCACATAGAAAGAACACATCTTTTTACAGTTGTAATTGTTGTATTGTTTGAAAATTATTAGAGAAACAGATTCCACCACCAAATCTCGTGTAATACGATATTTATCCACTCTCGACAGTTAAATTTTGAATATTTAACTGTCTCGAGTGGATAAATATGGTATCACACTCGATGCAGTGGTAGAATCTATATAAATATCATCTGCTTTTGATGAGGCATACTTTATCTATAACTATCATATCTAAATGGTTTGACAAACTTCTGTAAAATAGTATTTTGATTTAATACATGTTCACGATAATGGAAGGCTGTTGTAAGTAAACGTTCAGCTGCAGGTTAAATATATTTCTCTAATTCTTCGTCAATTTATCCCTTTCTGCACCCATTGTATAAAAAAAATTTAATCAACGTGTGGTTCGTTTGATCTCAGTTCATCATTGGTTAAAATCCGATTATGACGTCGAATTTTCTTGCTTTCCTCTGAATTTCCTATTGTGACGGCATAAAAAAAGGCGACCATGTCTGATGACGTCACATAGAAAGAACACATCTTTTTGCAGATCATTCGAAAAGAAGGAATAACTTTGCCTGCATATTGTTAGAAAATCATTAGAGAAACAGATTCCACCACCAAATCTCGTGTAATACGATATTTATCCACTCTCGACAGTTAAATTTTAAATATTTAAAACGCTCGGCGAGCCTTGCGTTTTAAATTTGAAAATTTAACTGTCTTGAGTGGATAAATATCGTATCACACTCGATGCAGTGGTAGAATCTATATATACACATTCAGGACGAGTACATGATAATGTTTTATGAATACGAAGTATACGAATATTGTCAGAGATAGTTTTCACTGTGTAAGTCCTCAATTATGCTGAACGCAATCTTGACTACATCCTTTATTCTGAATTCAGCTTATTCTTTTTTATTGTATTATATGTATAATTGTCACCCTTCACGTACCAAATAATTGTCTTTGTCGAGAATACGTACATATTTACATATTGTTGAATTACTCTTAGAATGTAGAAATCTCGTATCATAATTATATGAATATGGAGATATGTCATTACGCTTGGATATCAAATATCTCCATTTTTATCAAACTTGGGCATACAACAGTATAAGATTTTACGAAAAATCATTATGGAATGATCATTGAATATATATCATCATATATATATCATATCCATTAATTTAACGCATACAAATACATTTTAAAAGTGACAAGAAACATAATTTTAATAAATTATGCACCATTTTCGGGAATTTGTTAAAACAAGAACTTTCCTAGGGAAATTCCATCTATTAAAAAGTGTGAAAAGGGAGACAATTCATACTATACATCTAATGGGGATTAACCTCTCATCTATTAATAGCCATGATATAAACAATATAAATAAATACAAAATCAAAACAGGAAATTTTCGATCAAACAGGTATAATAGAACGAATATAATATTTCGAGCAGGTATGTTATAATTTATACTTTAATACGTTGACAGATATTTTGTAAATAAAAATGTACTCGATAAAATACGTTTAGTTCATATTGAATCAACAATATCGACATTTTTACTATTGACAATTCGTTGTTTACAATTTGTATTTAAGTCATGGATCATTGATTGCATTAACATTTTGTAATAAACAATAAATATTTTGAGAATTTCCAATTCCCCACTTTCTCAAGGGTATTATGTTTCCTTCAAAGTTTGAAATCCAAAACCAAGCATCCCTCTACAGCCTGCTGTACAGAAGTAAACAATAATATGTCCCACCTTTAAATAAAAGCGTAAACAGGAAGACTTCCTTTTCCCTTTTTCCTACATCAATGCTTATTTAAAGTCTATCAGGAATCCTCGCATTCACATATGAACTACTGCAGAGATATTTTAAAACAGATCTTTGGAAAGGTAAAGCGGTGAAAAAGACCAGAAGAGCCAAGGTGTGTATATCTTAATTGTAGTTTATTTATATATATGTATACGTGGATATACATTTATTAAAAAAAATATCTTTAAAGGAAGGGAAGCCTTATTAGGGACTCCTCAGTTTAGGACATTTTTTGTTAAAAACGGTGCTTGGAAATTTCATTTACAAATAAAAACTTCAATTGTCTCTTCTCCCGATGGAAATATGCTCATATTGCAAGTGTCCGTTTGGCTATGTTGGATGCAAAAATACGGCAATCAATCAAATTATCGTAAGAAAACACCCCACTTTAGCAAAAGTTTGAGTAGTTCTATCCGACGGAAAAGTGCCGGTATAACCATATTTCTACACCCCAGTCAACCCTTGGGGTTTCTAGCTTAGCGGAAAAGGTTTTCTTAGTTCCAAAATATGAGTTTTGAAATTGAAGGTATACTTTTTCGATGGGAGTTTAATCAGTAAAATACAATGTATCTATCAATATTTAATATTTTGTAGAATAAGCCCCAAAACGTAGATATCCATAAAATGTGTACGACTGAAAAGAAAAGAGAAATAATTTTAAAGTTGTTTAATTTAAATGTCACAAATAGAAACTGGGTGTGTCTTGTTACTGAGTTATATGTGTTGGGCTGCAACCACACACACACAATAAACAATACCACGAGTCTGCACCGACTCCGACTCTGGGGACTAACTCTTGCAACAAATGACGACTCTGGTTTTCGCGATATATGGTTTAATACTTCAGCATGGAATACAATTGTACAGAGTTGGAACTGTTCAGTGTAAAACTAAATCCAATCTGCCATCTCGAAATAATACTAGATATGGACAATGCCACCCCTTTTCTGATCTGCCATATGCATGAGTATAGTTCCACATATTTTAGATTCGACAAACAGTGATGTTGGCATACAACTTGAAATTGTTACCCTGTCTGTAAGAGACAAATGATGCCCCCGCCTGACCAAAAAAAAAATGATTAAGAAATTCTGAAAATGACAGGTAGTTGGACTTAGTCATTTTTTTAGTACTAGCTGCATAAAGAGATCATGGGTTGTCTGGCTATCTCCTCCTACAGTTTTGGAGGTACTACAATTGGCTATTATTCAGACATTATATATATATATATGTATACCAAAACATTTTTCCTTTTATTTTGTTTGGAAATACAGATTGATTAAATGTTGTTTGATTAACATGTAGTGGCAAATAGTTAATTCATCTCCAGGACCGTCTAATTTGTATACCGCGAAGGTAGGGGGGATAGGGGTGGAGGAGCGGAAGGGGTTGAACTGTCTCTAAAGTCAGAAGAATAAGCTTATAATATATATGCCTAGTTATGGTTTGGACCAAGATTTCATGGTTTACTGAACATGGCAAAATAAATGAGCGAAGATGACATGGTGTCCTATGGACACAATATTTGTTTGTTAACTTTTTTTGTTTGGTTTGCCAGAAAGGGCAGTATTATGCAGCGAAAATTAATAAAAGTACATATATGTACACAAATTGTAGGTCAAAAATTAATACGCAACATGTAATAATGGCAAAATGAATTGGAAATTATTTTTGTGTACTCTTTTTCAGATGGCTTCAAAGATTATAAAAGAAGATGTACAGCTGCCAAAAGACTTTCAAAAATGTCTGGCATTTGTGTTATACAACGTTTTTTCGAAAGAGGTAATATACATTTTACATTTTTAATTTGTTTTTTATTACCCATATTATGAGCAAATTCATCTTTGTTATATTTTTTTCGAAACACATTTACATAAATTGATGATTGTTTTGTTTTCTTTCCAAGAAAAACGCCGCCAAAATCCTGGCCGCGTGATTTGGATTTACAGTATATTTTCAATAATATTGTAAAAGAGAGGCAAAAGATACCAAAGGGACATTCAAACTCATAAGTCGAAAATAAACTGACAACGCCATGACTAAAAAAGATAAAGACCAACAGACAAACAGTATAATAAACAAAACACGACATAGAAAACTAAAGACTGAGCAACACTACTAACCCAACCAAAAACTGTGGGTGATCTCAGGTGCTCCACATGTGGTACCCGTCGTGTTGCTCATGTTAGTAAAGCGATAAAGTACATAGATTGTAAAAAGTTTTTATTATTTGATCGACTGATTGTTATCGTCTTCAAGTCCAGAAGATCTCACGACGAACACAAATTCATGATAATCAATAGGTGGGTTTTGCAATTAAAGTTGGTCCATCTGGTTGAAGGATGAAAAATTTAGACTGCAACTGGAAAACGAAGGAGTGTTGGATATGAGCGTTTTTGCAACAGGTCAACCATGCACAAAGGTTTTTTTTTATCGTGCAGAGAGAGCAACGTTCTTCCTTTTAAGCCCAATTCCAACTTGGCGTGGCTGCGGGTTTATATAACCCGCAATAAATAACCAAACGATGCCCTTCTTTAGTATGGGTTTTATTGCCAGTTCGAAGAAGTTCAGGTTATATATATACTTTACCAGAGTGAACCATTGGAAATTTTAATCAATCTAGAAGAAGTTGTTTCCCAAAGTGAATCTTTGGGGAGTATCGGTTTTGGAGAATTAAAGGTTGTCATAGAGACAATAGGTTTGTTTTAAATAAGCCAATTTAATTTGTATCTCGGTATGATATTGCGAGTTGCAGCTCAGTGTGAAACAGAATTATTTTTTTGACAAATATCACATTATGCAATTGTGCAGATTCAATGGCATTTCACTTAAAAATAATAAAAAAAAACTATATACAGTGTATAAATATTTGTTTTCAGGAATGTGAAGAATACATAAATATTGCAGAGAAAAAAGGTTTTGAAGTGGCACTTCTTAATGCCGGAGGAAATAGGTAAAAATACACGAATAATAACTGTGATTGACATGTTCTATTTTGCATAGAGCAGGTATTAATAGATGACACTCACTTTTCAAACCGTGAGGTTTGAATTAGAAAATGTTCATCGAACGTAAATTAGTCTGGGAGAAGAAGATGAACGAGTCAATAATGACGTCTATCATGATGTCATTCTATTTATAGTTGATATAAAATAAGGAAATGTGGTATGATTGTCAATGAGACAACTATCCACCAAAGATCAAATGAAGTGAATGTAAGCAATTATAGGCAACCGTACGGCCTTCAACAAGGAGAAAAGCTCATACCGTATAGTCGGCTTTAAAAAGCCCCGACATGAAAAATTTGAAAAAAATCAATTGGGAAAACTAGCCGCCTAATTTATAACAAAACAGTTTACGAAAAACATATATGACAGACATGAACCAACGACAATTAACCACTGAACTACAGGCTCCCAACTTGGGACAGGCACATAAAGAACGTGACGGTATTAAAAATGTTTGTCGTCAAGCATTTAATTTACTGTAATCTTCGGAAGAGTAGGCGGGCCTTTCGGCCAAAAGTACACAATCTTGAATCTTGCGATTAGACTCTTTTTGTGCGTATTTAGGTTAATTGAATCATCGATAAGGAACGTTGTCATTGCTTTTGATCCCTACATATGGTTAAATTAAGAACGAAAAAAAAAATAATACTTTGCCTAGGTGTAGTTTATATCATGCTTAAAAAGATTTAATGAGATATAAAAATAAAAAAGTATGTAACAGATTTTTTTAACCAATTTTGTGCCGTGAATAGAAAGAAAACTAAACGATAATTTTAACAAAATATGAGAAGATAACTCTTTTTATTCATTCACATGAAATATTGATATTTCTAATGAATTGCATTCCTTTCTCAAAATTTAAATGTTTCATTAAAGGTCTAGACTGATTGTTTTCTGCTATTTTACAATCCAAGATGGCGAAAGGCGCCTGATATACCTAAAACATACAACAATTGCAATAGTCGATAAAAGTTTAAGGTGAAATAATATTTGAATGAAAGGATTCTTTTCTAAAGACGTGTAGAAATCTATTATTTATTATTATTTCAATATTTACACTCCGCTAGCTTTCCGAGAATGCCCTTGTGTGTAAAACAGATTAGATTAAGGGAAAGCGGCCATATACTCCTTTCTTCATAAATTCGTTTAACGTACATTTTGTATTATAAAGAGTTCCATAAATGAAATGATTTTCTAAAATCTTCAAGGAGACATCAATACAACAAGCAATCTTGTTAAATAACACGTATAAAGATACAGCACTGATTATTTACAGACAAGTATTAGCCACAGATATAAGAAATAATTCAAGATGTATATGGGATACCACTGAAGAGGTTGATAAGATATGGAAAAGAATCAAAGAATATGTTCCTGATGTATGGTGTCACAGAGAGGTGATGGGATTGAATGAAAGGTGCAATATTTAAACAATTTGAAACAACCTTATTTATTCCAAAATATCTATATATACACATTTTAATATTCGGTTTTGCATTTATTTGGTAGAATTTTATGCCTTCTTAAAAACTATTAAATTCTTATATGAGTGTTCAGTTACACATTCATTTGCATTGTTAAAATTGGAATAAACCATAATCATTTAATGTTTGACATGACGTAGTCGAAACATTTATCAATACTATCGTGAATTTTTGATATCGTAATACTATTTTGTAATTGAACAGAATAATGAATACTAAGTATGCTAACTAAAGTTAAAATCACAAGTAATAGCTTTTCTAAAAAGCTAGCCGTCTCATAGCTGATAAAATTTGAAAATGTTTTTCCATGCAGAATAGCAAATGTATAGTGAATTACAAAAAATAAACGGCAAATACTAATTTTGAGATTTCCAATTTTAATGCGCCCGTTTACGGACGTATTATGGTATACCGTTGACCTTCTGTCCGTCTGTCGTATTATGGTATACCGTTGACCGTCTGTCCGTCTGTCCGTCCGTCCGTCGTCAACATGTCAGACATTAACTCAAAAAAGCTTTAACCAATATGCATGAAACTTTGGTGAATTGTTTATATCTATTGACGTGAGCTCCCTTTCGTTTTTGTATAAATTTCAGATTTACCGTTTCCGAGATTTGGGGTTTTATTTATTAAAAAAGGGGGGATTTTCCAGTTTTCTGACAATAACTCAAGAATGCTTTCATCAACTTGCAAGAAATTTTAGTGAATTGTTTATATCTATTGACATGAGCTCCATTTTGGATTTTTATAAATTTTAGATTTGATGTTTCCGAGTTACATGGTTTTATTCATAAAAAAGGGGGATTTTCCAGTTTTCTGACATTAACTAAAAAATGCTTTCAGCACTTCTCATGAAACTCTGGTGAATTGTTTATATCTGTTGATTCAAGCTCCCTTTTGATTTTTATAAATTGTAGATTTTACATTTCTGAGTTATGGGGTTTTATTTATTAAAAAAGGGGGATTTTCCAGTTTTTGGACAATAACTCAAAAATGCTTTCAGCAGTTCTCATGAAACTTTGGTGAATTATTTATAGCTATTGATGTAATCTCCCTATTGATTTTCATAAATTTCAAATATAACATTGAGAAGAAATTGAACTTTATTTGTTTATAATAGTCTGACAACAGATTTACTAAGTATTGCGCAACAGCGCACAGTGTATTGCACAACAGCACGAAATCTTAAATTGAATATAAATTCAATTCATATAACCAATTTCAAGTTCTTTGACTACATTTATTCAGAAACCTATATTATGTCAAATATTTAATTACAATCCAAATTCAGACCTGTATTAAGCTTGAATATTGTGTCCATTTTTGCCCCAACTGTTCAAGGTTAGACCTCTGCTGGCGTATCCAGCTGCGCTCAGCGAAGCAGTTTATTTTGTTGGGAATCTCATGCACTGGTCTTTGATTTTTCATATATATATATATATATATATATATATATATATATATATATATATATATTATATATTAAAATATACTTTTTCACTTTTTTGGTCTTTTGGAAAATGTTGTTTGTGCTGTATTTAGACCCCTCTAACAAGAAATTTGTTTTGCATGCACACGTATAAAAATTGCGGTTTTTATCCAACGCAATCATAGGTTTGAACGTTGTTTTCAATTTAGACTTGTTTATAATTTTTCGTTTGGGCTTGTATTATATTTGCCTTCGGGTTTATATGATCCGTTCATCCTATTTTGACTCCTCAAAGTTCAAGAGTCTATCCTAAATTGAGGTAAATTGTATGGCTTTCCAAATACCGTTTCGATTCCTAACATCACTGAAGAGACATTCATTCTCGAAATCCGGATATGGTGTACACAAACCTTTGCACCTTTTGTTTGCGGTATACCATCTTTTCTGCAAGTTTATTGTTTTCTGTTTAGTGTTAAATTTATAATTAAGATCCATTTATTACATCGGTGATCCGTTTATTTGGCAATCGCCAATGGCAGTCAGCAGGGTTTAAGAACATTTGTTGTTCGACCTGTTAGTCAAATGCGTTTTGTTAAAATATACTTTTTCACTTTTTTGGTCTTTTGGAAAATGTTGTTTGTGCTGTATTTAGACCCCTCTAACAAGAAATTTGTTTTGCATGCACACGTATAAAAATTGCGGTTTTTATCCAACGCAAGAATAGGTTTGAACGTTGTTTTCAATTTAGACTTGTATATATATATCAAATGCCTGTAGGGGAATGTATAGAACACTGAAAAAGGGGGTATACTTACTCAGTCATCTGCGTTTGTATCAGTTTTTCGATTACTTTTTTTTTCAAAAAGAAATTTTATTCATTTACTTCTTCCAAGATCAGTTGTTTATTCATTTGTGTGTTAAAAAATATGATTACTCCGCCTGTATCTGTTGCATTCATAGTAGGTCTCGAAAAGTGTATAGAGTGTGAAACGTAGTAAAATTCAAACACTAAAGAACACACAATTATTTTTCAAAAGAGTTCCCACATCTTTTCAAAATGATCCTTAAAACTTATATTGAACAATCTTTTATCTGTCTTTTGTCATTCAAAACTTATGATAACGAAAAGTGTTGAGATCTAGAAAAACTTAGCTTAAGCATTGACCTAATAAAGTTTATGTACTGGTCCCTGGTTACGATTGTCCAGATAAATCAACTCATCAACGTTTAAGGCTAAATGAGTTGGACAAGGTCAAAATATTACTACATAGTATATCGAACTTAAAATTCAAATTTTGCTTGATGGCTGTGATAACAATGAAACACGTTAAACAATAACCATAGATAAGATATCATTCTTTGACGACACAGTTAAAATCAATTTCAATTTCCCGGCAAACACTAAGAAAGCAGGCCGCGAATTCCATTCATTTTCAGAACAGGAAACAGCGCAAGCGCAAAAATCGACAAACAAATCTTGCAACATTATGCTTATTATACATTTATAATAAATAAAATATCTGATCAAAATTGTTAGTTTGTCGTATACAGCGTTTTATACCATTCAAGTCTAAATTTCGTTGAAATCCATAAGATTTGAAAAAAATCATCAATGTCTGTTTTTGGTGCCTTTTTCGGGTATACATTTCAATTTGTCGCTTGATGGATTTGATCGATATTGGGAGAAATTTAAGGCCTTTATCGTTTTTACCCTTCAAAGCTAAACATGCTGAATTAACATATTCTTCTGTGGGAGAGCCTTTATATGTTTAGATGTCTTTCTGTTTTATTATCGTAGTGTTTGTATGTATGTATACATGATTTTAAATTCCTCTAGAAAACATCCATTTTCATATAATCAAATGCCAACAGTATTGTCGTCTTTTAGATGTATATCTATTTTCTTTCTCTTTTTCGTATAGCATGTTTAGTATAGATAGTCAATAAATCTCAAGTCAAATAAAAACGATTATTTCTGACTCTGTTCATTGTTTTCAGTTATCATATTAGTTCATTTTTTGCCAAAAATATTTTTACATTTATTCACAATTTTTATGACCCCGCCATAGCGGAGGGAACATGAAGTTTTACCCTTGTCCGTCTGTACGTCCGTCCGTACGTACGTCCCAAATTTGGTTTCCGTTCTCTAACTTTAGGTTGCCTTTACCAAATGTTATGAAACTTATAGACAATGCTTATTACCACAAAACACAGATCAAGATGAATTTTGGTGGCGTCACATTAACCGTTTAAGAGTTTAATATGCCCCTTTATGAATGGAAAAAATACTGATCTTTTTAGTTTCCGTTCTCTAACTTAAGTTTACCTGAACCAAATGTTATGAAACTTATACACGATGCTTATTACCACAAAATACAGATCAAGTTTGAATTTTGGTGGCGTCACTTTTACTGTTCTAGATTTATGCCCCATTACAAATGGAAAAAATGCTTATTTTTTTGTTTCCGTTCTCTAACTTAAGTTTGCCTCAACCAAATGTTATGAAACTTATACACTTTTAACGTTCTTCAGTTATGTCCCATTATAACTATATGATATGCAAGCGGGGGCATCATCTGTGTCCACATGTGGTTACTATCCACATTTATTTTACCAATTTTAAGACGTAGTAGCACACGGAGCAAAGGTCTAAAATCATTTTACTTTTTTATCATCTAGATTAAGAATTCTTAGATATGATCCAGGCGAATATTTCAGACCGCATTATGATGGTATGTATGAACGGGATAATGGAGAGAGAAGTTATGTGACTGTCCAGATTTATCTGAACGAGGTAAATTTAGAGGACTTTTTTAATTACCTATATGGCCGAGTTGTCTAAGTAGTCGAACTACTGTATCATTGGCCTGTCAACACCGAGGTTGTGAGTTCGAATCCTGCACGTGGCAAGTGCGCTCGACTCCAATCTTAACTGACTAGGATTGTAAGTTTTCCTACCAAAGTTTGGTGGTTCTTTCCGGGCACTCCGACTTCCGCCACCAATAAAAATTGACCGCCACGAAAAAGCACAATAGTGCTGAAAGTGGCATTAAACACCAATAAATCAATCAACAAATCAATCAATCAATCAAAAAAATTAATTACCCATGTCAGAGTCGACTGTATGTGCTATAAGAGTTGAGGTGTAGTTTATAAATGTACATGGTCTGACCGGAAATCTTATACATTTTATTTAAGTTCTATTTAAATGCAAAAAGAACATACTTATTAGACTAAGTTAATCATTTGTTTGATAAGAAGAACGAGTGAAAAAGGCCAGTATGAATATTTCTAAATCTCAATTAAAGCAAAAATATCAAAATTTGACAAAACGTTTACGGTATTAATATCCTGTAGTTATTATTTATAAAAGGAGGATTGCAAGTGTGGTAATTCACTTAATTATATTTGATAAATTATATATATTTATGTGTATAAAACACATTTGTATTGTCACAGTAACGTCATATCATTAATGGCATATTTGACCGACATTTTCCCATTTCATACATACTTTTTGGCAAAACTTGCCTTTAATGCAAGAAGTCTTGAGAAAAAAGTAAATTAATAAAAAATACCGAACTCCAAGGAAAATTCAAAATGGAAAGTCTCTTATCAAAAGGCAAAATCAAAAGCTCAAACACATCAAACGAACGGAAAACAACTGTCATATCCTGACTTGGTACAGGCATTTCCTTATGTAAAATATGGTGGATTAAACCTGGCTTCATAGCTAGCTAAACCTCTCACTTGTATGACAGTCGCATACAATTCCATTATATTGACCACAAAACACATAAGCAAGAATGAAAGACAAGAATAAAAAAAAAATGACTATAGTACAATATGTATAAATACCGAGCCACGCCAAAAGGATATTACCAAAAATGGAGAACTCATCAAAGATGTCATTTAAATTGTAATGGATTTGTACTGATTTGAGGTTCGAACTCAATGGGCCACAAAAGTGGCTTATAAGAAATTGTAAAAATCTGACAAATTTAAAGGAGACAATATTTTCAACAGATTCCACTGATAAAAATAAGATACCAATTTCTTGAATAAACAGACAATATAAGGCTTGAGTCAGAATGCAGTCCTCTTTTCATCGATTTTCGGACTAACGGACATAATGGAACACGACGGGTGACACAAGGGGAGCATGATTTGCCAACCTTTCTTATTACCTGTATCTGTCATTTTTATACGACCGCAAAAATTGAAAATTTTTTGGTCGTATATTGGTATGACGTTGGCGTCGTCGTCGTCGTCGTCGTCGTCGTTGTCGTCGTCGTCGTCGTCGTCGTCCGGCGTCGTCTGGCGTCGTCCGAAGACACATTGGTTTTCGCACTCTAACTTTAGTTTAAGTGAATGGATCTCCATGAAATTTTACCATAAGGTTCAATACCATGAAAGGAAGATTGGGATTGATTTTGGGGGTTATGGTACCAACAGTTAAGGAATTAGGGGCCAAAAAGGGGCCAATAATAAGCATTTTTGTAACTTCCAGACAATAACTTGTGTGTAAGTGTATGGATCTCTCTGACATTGTACCACAAGGTTCCATATCACAAAGGGAAGGCTGTAATTGATTTTGGGGGTAATTGCCTCAAAATGTTAGGAATTAGGGGCCAAAAAAGGGGCAAAAAACAAGCATTTTTCTAGTTTCATGACAATAACTTGTGTGTAAGTGTTTGGATATTTCTGAAATTGTACTACAAGGTTCCATATCACAAAGGGAAAGCTGGAATTGAGTTTGGGGGTAATTGCCCGAAACGTTTAGGAATTGGGGGCCAAAAAGGGGCCAAAAATAAGCATTTTTCTAGTTTCCAGACAATAACTTGTGTTCAAGTGTATGGATCTCTCTGAAATTGTACTGCAAGGTACCATACCACAAAGGGAAGGCTGAGATTGAGTTTGGGGGTGATGAATCATAAGGGGGTTCAAAAAATTTGGGGGGGGGGGGGATTTTTTTTTTTTTCTTTTTTTTTTCTTTTTTTCCTTTTTTTTTTTCTTTTAAAATTTTCCATTTTAAGTTGGTTATTTCTGATTTATATTTAAAAGCAAATAATAATGATATGGTAGGAGATACACACCAAACAGGATGTGTAAATTATTATATGATAAGTATTGTGCAATAGCAAGAAATTTTCAATTGCACAGTATTGCACAATAGCAAGAAATCTTCAATTGCACAGTATTGCGCAATAGCAAGAAATCTTCAATTGCACAGTATTGCGCAATAGCAAGAAATATCCAATAGCACAATATTGCGCAATAGCAAGAAATTGTCAATTGTACAGTATTGCGCAATAGCAAGAAATAATCAATTGCACAGTATTGTGCAAAAGAAGATACTTCGTATAAATTGCTTATTTCTTGATCAATTTCAATGGGGTTTTATTCTTGAATTCTTGGGGTTCTTTAATATGCTGAATCTAACCGTGTATTAAGTTTTTAGATTTTGGGCCCCGTTTTTAAATTGGTCCACATTGAGGTCCAAAGGGTCCAAAATTTTACTTTGTTTGATTTCATCAAATATTGAATTATTGGGGTTCTTTGATATGCCGAATCTAACCGTGTATTTAGATTCTTAATTTTTGGTTCTGTTTTCAAATTGGTCTACATAAAGGTCCAAAGGGTCCAAAATTAAACTTAGTTTGATTTCAACAAAAATTGAATATATGGGGTTTTTTGATATGCTGAATCTAACCATGTATTTAGATTTTTGATTATGGGCCCAGTTTTCGAGTTGGTCCAAATCGGGGTCCAAAATTAAACTTTGTTTGATTTCAACAAAAATTGAATATATGAGGTTCTTTGATATGCTGAATCTAACCATGTATTTAGATTTTTGATTATGGGCCCAGTTTTCAAGTTGGTCCAAATCGGGGTCCAAAATTAAACTTTGTTTGATTTCAACAAAAATTGAATATATGGGGTTCTTTGATATGCTGAATCTAACCATGTATTTAGATTTTTGATTGTTGGGCCCCGTTATCAACTTTGTCCACATTGAGATCAAAAGGGTCCAAAATTAAACTTTGTTTGATTTCATCAAAAATTGAATATGTGGGGTTCTTTGATATGCTGAATCTAACCATGTATTTAGATTTTTGATTATGGGCCCAGTTTTCGAGTTGGTCCAAATCGGGGTCCAAAATTAAACTTTGTTTGATTTCAACAAAAATTGAATATATGGGGTTCTTTGATATGCTGAATCTAACCATGTATTTAGATTTTTGATTATGGGCCCAGTTTTCAAGTTGGTCCAAATCGGGGTCCAAAATTAAACTTTGTTTGATTTCAACAAAAATTGAATATATGGGGTTCTTTGATATGCTGAATCTAACCATGTATTTAGATTTTTGATTGTTGGGCCCCGTTATCAACTTTGTCCACATTGAGATCAAAAGGGTCCAAAATTAAACTTTGTTTGATTTCATCAAAAATTGAATATATGGGGTTCTTTGATATGCTGAATCTAACCATGTATTTAGATTTTTGATTATGGGCCCAGTTTTCAAGTTGGTCCAAATCGGGGTCCAAAATTAAACTTTGTTTGATTTCAACAAAAATTGAATATATGGGGTTCTTTGATATGCTGAATCTAACCATGTATTTAGATTTTTGATTATGGGCCCAGTTTTCAAGTTGGTCCAAATCGGGGTCCAAAATTAAACTTTGTTTGATTTCAACAAAAATGGAATATATGGGGTTCTCTAATATGCTGAATCTAATCGTGTATTAAGTTTTTGGATTTTGGGCCCCGTTTTTAAATTGGTCCACATTGAAGTCCAAAGGGTCCAAAATTTAACTTTGTTTGATTTCATCAAAAATTGAATTATTGGGGTTCTTTGATATGCCGAATCTAACTGTGTATTTAGATTCTTAATTTTTGGTTCCGTTTTCAAATTGGTCTACATAAAGGTCCAAAGGATCCAAAATTAAACTTAGTTTGATTTTAACAAAAATTGAATTTTTAGGGTTCTTTGATATGCTGAATCTAAACATGTATTTAGATTTTTGATTATGGGCCCAGTTTTCAAGTTGGTCCAAATCGGGGTCCAAAATTAAACTTTGTTTGATTTCAATAAAAATTGAATATATGGGGTTCTTTGATATGCTGAATCTAACCATGTATTTAGATTTTTGATTTTTGGGCCCTGTTATCATTTTTGTCCACATTGAGATCAAAAGGGTCCAAAATTAAACTTTGTTTGATTTCATCAAAAAATTGAATTCTTGGGGTTCTTTGATATGCTGAATCTAACCATGTATTTAGATTTTGGATATTGGACCATAATAGGTGAATGTCCAATTTAAAATTTTTAAGTTCTTAGACCACATTCATTCTGTGTCAGAAACCTATGCTGTGTCAAATATTTAATCACAATCCAAATTCAGAGCTGTATCAAGCTTGAATGTTGTGTCCATACTTGCCCCAACTGTTCAGGGTTCGACCTCTGCGGTCGTATCAAGCTGCGCCCTGCGGAGCATTTTATTGTAGAGTTCAGGTTACTCTATTTTTTAGTTTCTGTTGAGTGCGTGTACCCTTTTCTGATCGCTTGAGGTATCTGTCCTTTTTTGTAGATATCAGGTTGCTCTTTTTGTAGGTCTGTTGAGTGTATGTACCCTTCCTGATCTCCTGATGTGTCTGTTCCTTTTGTAGAGTTTTGGTTGCTCTAGTTTTAGTTTTTGTTAAGTGTGTGTACCCGTCCTGATCACTTGAGGTATCTGTTCTTTTTGTAGATTTCGGGTTGCTCTATTTTTATACGCCCGTTTACGGGACGTATTATGGTATACCATTGTCCGTCTGTCCGTCTGTCCGTCTGTCTGTCCGTCCGTCGTCAACATGACGGACATTAACTCAAAACTCTTTAACCAATTTACATAAAACTTTGGTGAATTGTTTATATCTATTGACGTGAGCTCCCTTTCGTTTTTTTTAAATTTTAGATTTTACGTTTCCGAGTTATGGGGTTTTATTCATTAAAAAAAGGGGGATTTTGCAGTTTTCGGACAATAACTCAAGAATGCTTTCACCAACTTGCAAGAAATTTTGGTTAATTGTTTATATCTATTGACATGAGCTCCCTTTTGATTTTTATAAATTTTAGATTTTACGTTTCCAAGTTACGGGGTTTTATTCATTAAAAAAAGGGGGATTTTCCAGTTTTCGGACAATAACTCAAAAATGCTTTCAGCAGTTCTCATGAAACTTTGATGAGTTGTTGATATCTATTGATGTAAGCTCCCTTTAGAATTTTATAAATTTTAGATTTTACATTTCCGAGTTATGGGGTTTTATTCATTAAAAAAGGGGGGATTTTCCTGTTTTCAGACAATCACTCAAAAATGCTTTCAGCAATTCTTATGAAACTTTGGTGAAATGATTATATCTATTGATGTAAGCTCCCTTTAGAATTTTATAAATTTTATTTGTTTATAGTCTGACTATAGATTTACTAAGTATTGCGCAACAGCATAGTGTATTGCACAACAGCAAGAAATCTTTAATTGAATAGAAATTCATTTCATATAACCAATTTCAAGTTCTTTGACTACATTTATTCAGAAACCTATAATATGTCAAATATTTAATTACAATCCAAATTCAGACCTGTATCAAGCTTGAATATTGTGTCCATTTTTGCCCAAACTGTTCAGGGTTGGACCTCTGCGGGCGTGTCCAGCTGCGCTCAGCGAAGCAGGTTGTTAGCTTCTGTTGAGTATGTGTAACCTTCCTAATCACTTGAGGTATCTGTTCTTTTTGTTGAGTTCGGGTTGGTCAATTTTTATACGACCGCAAAAAAATTTTGAGGTCGTATATTGGTATGACGTTGGCGTCGTCGTCGTCGTCCGAAGACACATTGGTTTTCGCACTCTAAATTTAGTTTAAGTGAATGGATCTCTATGAAATTTTACCATAAGGTTCAATACCACAAAAGGAAGGTTGGGATTGATTTTGGGGGTTATGGTACCAACAGTTAAGGAATTAGGGGCCAAAAGTAAGCATTTTTGTAACTTCCAGACATAACTTGTGTGTTAGTGTATGGATCTCTCTGACATTGTACCACAAGGTTCCATATCACAAAGGGAATGCTGGGATTGATTTTGGGGGTAATTGCCTCAAAATTTTAGGAATTAGGGGCAAAAAAGGGGCAAAAAACAAGCATTTTTCTAGTTTCATGACAATAACTTGTGTGTAAGTGTATGGATCTTTATGAAATTGTACTACAAGGTTCCATATCACAAAGGGAAAGCTGGAATTGAGTTTGGGGGTAATTGCCCAAAACGTTTAGGAATAAGGTGCCAAAAAGGGGCCAAAATAAGCATTTTTCTAGTTTCCAGACAATAACTTGTGTTCAAGTGTATGGATCTCTCTGAAATTGTACTGCAAGGTACCATACCACAAAGGAAAGGCTGGGATTGATTTTGGGGGTATTTGCCTCAAAATTTTAGGAATTAGGGGCCAAAAAGGGGCAAAAAACAAGCATTTTTCTAGTTTCAGGACAATAACTTGTGTGTAAGTGTATGGATCTTTATGAAATTGTACTACAAGGTTCCATATTACAAAGGGAAAGCTTGGTTTGAGTTTGGGGGTATTTGCCCTAAACGTATAGGAATTCGGGGCCAAAAAGGGGCCTAAAAAAAAACATTTTTCTAGTTTCAGGACAATAACTTGTGTGTAAGTGTATGGATCTTTATGAAATTGTACTACAAGGTTCCATATCACAAAGGGAAAGCTTGGTTTGAGTTTTGGGGTAACTGCCCTTAACGTTTAGGAATAAGGGGCCAAAAAGGGGCATAAAAACAAGCATTTTTTCCAGTTTCCAGACAATAACTTGTGTTCAAGTGTATGGATCTCTCTGAAATTGTACTGCAAGGTACCATACCACAAAGGGAAGGCTGGGATTGAGTGATGGGTTGATGAATCATAAGGGGGTTCAAAAAATTTGGGGGAGGGATTTATTTTCCCTTTTTTTTCCTTTTTTTTTCTTTAAAATTTTCCATTTTAAATTGGTTATTTCTGATTTATATATAAAAGCAAATAATAATGATATGGTTTGAATAGGTAAATTAAAAGGTTTTAAGTTCTTAGACCACATTCATTCTGTGTCAGAAACCTATGCTGTGTCAAATATTTAATCACAATCCAAATTCAGTGCTGTATCAAGCTTGAATGTTGTGTCCATACTTGCCCCAACTGTTCAGGGTTCGACCTCTGCGGTCGTATCAAGCTGCGCCCAGCGGAGCATTTTATTATTTTCTGTTGAGTGTGTTTAGCCTTCCTAATCACCTGAGATATCTATTCTTTTGTGTAGAGATCGGGTTACTCTTCTTTTATTTTTTTTAGGTCTGTTGAGTGTATGTACTCTTTCCGATCACCTGATTTCTCTGTTCTTTTTGTAGAGTTTGGGTTGCTCTAGACTAGCTTTAGTTTCTGTTGAATGTGTGTAGCCTCCCTGATCACTTGATGTATCTGTTCTTTATGTAGAGTTCGGGTTGCTTTATTTTTAGTTTCAGTTGAGTGTGTCACCTGTGGTATCTGTCCCTTTTTGTAGAGACGGGGTTGCTCTTTTTTTGAGGTTAGTTGAATGTATGTACCCTTCCTGATCACGTGAGGTATCTATTCTTTTTGTAGAGTTCGAGTTGCTCTGGTTTTAGTTTCTGTTGAGTGTGTGTACCCTTCCTGATCACTTGAGATATCTATTCTTTTTGTAGAGTTCGAGTTGCTCTGGTTTTAGTTTCTGTTGAGTGTGTGTACCCTTCCTGATCACTTGAGGTATCTATTCTTTTTGTAGAGTTCGAGTTGCTCTAGTTTTAGTTTCTGTTGAGTGTGTGTAGCCTTCCTGATCACTTGAGGTATCTATTCTTTTTGTAGAGTTCGAGTTGTTCTAGTTTTAGTTTCTGTTGAGTGTGTGTACCCTTCCTGATCCCTTGAGGTATCTATTCTTTTTGTAGAGTTCGAGTTGCTCTGGTTTTAGTTTCTGTTGGGTGTGTGTACCCTTCCTGATCACTTGAGGTATCGGATCTTTTTGTAGAGTTCGGTATGCTCTATTTTTAGTTTCTGTTGAGTGTGTGTAGCCTTCCTGATCACCTGAGGTATCTATTCTTTTTGTAGAGTTCGAGTTGCTCTGGTTTTAGTTTCTGTTGAGTGTGTGTACCCTTCCTGATCACTTGAGGTATCGGTTCTTTTTGTATAGTTCGGTATGCTCTATTTTTAGTTTCTGTTGAGTGTGTGTAACCTTCCTGATCACCTGAGGTATTCGTTCTTTTTTGTAGAGATTGGGTTGCTCTCTTCTTTTTTTTCTTTTTTTATGTCTGTTGAGTGTATGTACCCTTCCCGATCACCTGAGGTATCTGTTCTTTTAGTTCGGGTTACTGTATGTTTAGTTTCTGTTTGGTTTTTGTGTTCTGTGATTTGTCTGTTTTCTTTTGTCCATCATGTAGAAGTAAATCTACCGTAAATTATTTAAATAACAACTGTCTAATTAATAGAAATGATTAGGTAAACACGTATATTCATAAAACGATATAGTGCATGCTTAAAATACAACTGTACACATTATCTTTAAGAAATGAGATCAAATTCAGTTATTAATGATACAATCAAATAAAACAAAACAGTATTGTAAAAAAAAAACATGTCAAATGGTTGGCTAGAATAATTTTGCAGTGTTTAACTGATATGCAAGTAACATTTTAACAAGATTCTTAATTACTTATTTGATTTACAGGGTTTTAAAGGTGGAAGTACCACATTTTTAGGAAATTATACAGAGGAACGAGTTGAAGTTGTACCAAAAACAGGTACTTTTTTATAATAAAATCAAAACAAGAAAAGAAAAATGACAAAATTATATGATTATTCTTTTAAAACCAGCTTTTAATATTGTGCACCTGATATTCAGAGATATTTATTTTGAAACGTTAAAGCTAGACATACAGAACAGGGGTAGATACTGACCACAATCATCATTGGGGTATCTAACTGTAAAAAATGTGTCCGATGACCCCGCCTGCCAACCAAGATGGCTGAATGGCTAAAAATAGGACATAGGGGTAAAATGCAAGTTTTGTCTATCATTTTGAAAACTGTTATAAATTGAGAAAATCTGACATGGACGAAAATGTTCAGAATCATGAGCTCTACCAATTGTCTATATACGTCAAAACTATCAGACGACTTCTTATAGGAGTTATTTCCCTTGAATGACAAATTTTACCATTTTTGTTTATTTTTGCCTGTTATCTTGAACACTATATTAGATAGAGAGAAACTTTAAATTGCAAAAATGGTCAGCATAATAAGTTCTACAAATAAGATTGCACGGTCGAAATCATCAGTCGACTTCTCATTAGAGTTATAGCCCTTTGATGAGGATTTTTACCAATTTTTTGCGTTTTTGCCTTATATCTTAAAAATTATAATAGACAGATAGAAACTTAAATAAGCAAAAATGATCAGCAAGACAAGATCTATAATTTAGACGATATGGAGGAAATCGTTCAACGACTCCTTATTGGAATTATTGCCCTTTGATGACGATTTTTATAACTTTTTTTGCATTTAGCCTTATATGTTAAAAATTATGATAGATAATAGACACTTAAATCACAAAAAATGATCAACAAGGTAATTTTTACTAACAAGTCAAATTTTGCCGATATAGTTAGTAGACTGTCACTCTTTGTAGGAGTGATTGCCCTTAAATTAGGATTTTTTTTACCCTCTTTTGTGTTTTGAGCAAAAACTAAAGAAGAAAAAGGGACACTAAACAGACTAAATGATCAGCAATACAAGATCAACAAAACAGATTTTTGTCATGAATTCTGTTCTCATCTACAATGTTTAAAAGAGGGATGTTTTTTTCCTGTACGGCATATATATGAATACGAAGTCACGTCCGCCAAGAACCGGAACAATAAATCCAATGCCTTGTAGTTGTAAACGGAAAGTGCCAATCTCTTTGTATGCTAAAGAACCGTTTCAACAAATCATCGATTCGTAGGTGGCATAATGAAAGGTAAAATGTCCATCTCATACCTTTAATTGTGGCACTCGAATTTGCCAATCAATGGAATTTATTGTTAACTTGTTCCCTCCTGAATATGCATGACATATTTACAAAAAGACATTTATCGAAAACCCATGCATAATAAATCAATCCAAATGAACGATTATTTTGGCTGTGAACTGTATGTAATTTTGTACTTTTTATGTTCTGTCCTAGTTTTTGAACTGTATGCTATTTTTTTATTTTTTAGGTTCCGTGCTGGTTTTTGAACATCCTATACTACATGAAGGATCTGAACTTATTGCTGGAAGAAAATATGCAATAAGGACTGATGTAATGTATTCATCTAAAATATCAAAACCAAAGAAGGCAACGGATTCAGAGACAATCGCAAGCGAATCAGACACTCAGATTTCACAAAACACAGAGACTGTTCAATCAAGTGATAATACTAAAACGAAGTCAAATTTTCTCAGTGAACTATTTGGGTGAAATGTTTTTGACAGAAAGCTTCTGTGATTTTAAGATTCACCCTTCTTCTTGTTTCATTGGTTCAGTTTTGAGTTTGGTTAATATCTGAATCTTCTGGCGAAAGGGTATGCAGTACAAAAAAGCGGAAGTGATCAGAGACTTAATCTATTTTTTTATAATAGTTTATCTTTTCAAAGTATATTCATATTCTTTTCGTATCAGTGAAACTGTCTTGTATTCGTGTTTTTTTTTATGTTTTTTGCAATTGTATTTTTAATTGTGAATTGATAATCAATTCTGTGATGTTAGGTTTTTTTTAATGTTACTCATTGTTTATGATGTTGTTAATTTTAAGCTCAATGTTTGTTTTGTTATTTAATTAATTTATATATCCAATGTTATATTTAAGTACACATCTTTAAAAGTTGTTTCTATTACATTAGATAGAAGTAAGTGTATTGTCAACTTCGTTTTTATTGCTTTATATTAAAGTAAAAATTTGTGTAAACTTGTTTTATGTTCAATAGCGAGGCAGTTATGCACTTAGGTAGAGCTTATATCCACCTCTGCTGGTTGTTTGATAGTCACCAGTCCGGTTTTATTAATTTAAAAAAAAAAAACTTTCACATATTCTGCAACAACCGATTTGCTCTTTTCATTTTTATCAGACGAAAACAATAAGCAAAAAATATATATGAACCACATTAAATCTTCGATTTCTCTTTCTCTCAATTCAATTCGAAATATTAAAAACTGTTTCTGAAGTCCGTTTCACAAAAAAAACTTACGACTAAGATTGATCGTAAGTATACTGAATTGTTCATGACTTACGATCAATCTTAGTCGCAAGTATTTTTGTGAAACCGACCCCAGAATTGTAGACTATTTTACCCCCTCTAGGGTAAAATGAAATACATGTACATTTATTGTCCGTTTACAGTCCCATCCCTAAAATTACCACTATGCACATTGTCAACAGAATGGTACGTTTTAATGAATATTGAGATGTTTGATAGTATGATCTTTGATTCGTTCATGTGCCTTGCATATGTTAAATAAGAAAAATGCTCAACAATTGTTTGCCTAGCCTCCAGTAACAAATATTTCATGCATATTCAGGACGACAGCAAATTGACAATAAATTCAATAGGTAAGTTGAAAAGACCAGGATGAAATGCAAAAAGAGAGTGTTTTTTATAAGGATAGAAATTTTGCCTTGTAAAAGGGTATCTACAAACCCTTGAAAGAGTTTTTGCAACGGTTTACTTAAAAGATGAAGAGTGCGTAGTACTCTCCGTACATCAGGCATCGGATTTCGATCAGACATGGCAGTTTATTTGTACAACTTGCACAGCTAACCAATGTCCCCTCAGTATAGTTTTAAAAGTAACGGAATGTCCAGTTTTTCATATTTTTGTTTATCCAAGTCAAACATTGAGTTCTAAAATAGCTTAAGTTAAGTTTAGTCGAACTTGAAAATGGTTTAAAGTGACTGTTAGATATTGTTTTAAAACAAAATTATAAAAGAAAATAATTTCATAAAGAAATTTGAGCCTTTGGAATCGCTGAGATATAGAATGAAGAGATGAGAAAAGACGGAAATATTGTAGTACATGTAATATTAAGTTGTATACTAGTATGAGTTGCTATTTGTTTTGGCTGCCATGTATGTAAATAGTACCTTTGATGTACCATTATTCAAAACTGTGATAATAACGTATCATTTCACTGCTTTGTTTACAAATTTCCTTAAAAAAATACTTAACCGCAAGTTTGATGGTACAAGGGTGATTTGTATAGTTACCCTATACACTTAGGAAACATAAACATTGCTATTTTATGTATTGTATGCGATGGCTTCTCCATATTTGAGATATGTCAACATCTCGGTCAACATACGGATTCCAAGTTGTATGGATGCCAATGCCAACATTTTAACTTTTTTATCCTAAAGTATACTATTTTTTACGAAAATAACTGTTTAAATCACAGTGAAATGGTGTGAAGAATTATATTCATTTTTCTTCTGATTGTGGTGTTTTTCATTTACTCTCTCAGGACCATATGACAATTTATCAACAAATTTTACAGAGCTTTTTAAAACGGTTTCCGAACTTTTTGAATTTTCTTGAAGTCTAATTTTGATGCAATTAAGTCTTCAAGTTGCATTGGTGAGGCAATCAGATTTATGGTAGCTCCTACAGTTTCTTAGTTAATAGATGCAAATATTTTGCACAACCTATGTAGTTTAAATCGTACGAAGGGCTAATGACCGGAAAGTCGGAAATGAACATAGTGCATATAATCAATTTGCGGACTCCATTTATCCCTTTGTCAATCATATTTACAATGCCAAGATAAAATGCGTTTTTCAACAGACACAATTTTGCTAAAATCCCTGTACTACGTTGTAATATGCTGTTGTTTTTTTTTTCTAAATGGTGTTGATGATTCCACCAGTATGCTTTAATATGTATTTGATTTTTGATTGATCTATTTGCAATATCAAGAAATAAAGAAGAAGGACAATTATAACTGATTTTTATTCACACAAGCGGCATTTTAAAATAGTCATGCAAGCTTTAGTTTTCTAAAGTTCGATATGATAGAGTGTTGAGAGTTTATAACAACATTAATGTGATCTATATATCTTTCTGAACATATGACCACATTTTGAAAGCCTAGAGTGTAACATTTGGTTATGAATTTTTTCACAATTTTCATGTCGGGGCCTTTTATAGTCGACTATACGGTATGTGTATTTATCATTGTCGATGGCGTATAATTGCTTAAATCCACTTCATTTGAAATCTGGTGTGTACAAAATGGACTTGTCTCATTGGCAATCATTAAACATCTCTTTATTTTTATATGGTGGGTACAAAATGTAGTTGTCTCATTGGCAATGATTAAACATCGCCCTTATTTTTATAAAGTAGGCCAGTTTTAAACCGAAAATTTTCCGTCGTAGTATTTTTTATTCTCAAATGTCACAAATGTATTATGGGACAATTTCCAACAAAGCTGCGACTTTTCTTTTTCGTGTAATTTAATTACTCAAATGTGAGCGTTACTTTTACTTAATATACATACTATAAATTTTATGTTTTTTTCTGGATTTACCTTTAAACTAAAAAAAAATAATTTTGAAGCCTAGGTTGTATAAGTAGTTGAATACGTGAAGAGCTTATGACCAAAAGGCACCTTTAAGAATGGCCAAATTCATCTTAAGGCAACTTGCCTTAAGCAGTTGGAACCGCTGAGCCGGATTTTAACGTGCTAGTTCACAAGGTAACAGTCCGCAGGAAGACATGTCACTTTACCTGGACACATTATTCTGACTCCGAGCCGACCAGTCTTTGCTCTTACTCCTAAATGCCGCGTGCTTAGCGGAGAAGCAGCAAATACCAATTTTAAAGTCTTTGGTTTTACCCGTCCGGGGTTCAAACCCACGACCTACAGCACTCGAGGCGAACACGCTACCACGAGACCACCCAGGCGGTCTTGTTGTTCTAATCATAGCAAAAACCGGCATGTTCCGTGGATGGGGATTTTTGAATGAAATGTCAAGTTCGAATTGACTAGATAATTTCTACGATAGAAGAATTTTAAAATTGTTCAGGAGATTTGACGTACTTGAAATGATGACAAAAGCGCGTATACATATCTTTAAGCCATGTTGGGACCTAATATCCTAGAGCCAGGTGAGCAATTATAAATGTTTGAATATGAATGACTGCACATGACTTGTAACTAGATCCTTCTAGTTGACAAGGTCAACAAAGACGACATTATTTTTGTGATTTATATTGTACAGGGAAGTAAATTAAAGAAATGCAAATAATGTATTATCACTTGTGAAGGTATTTTTAATATTGGCTGATGTACCCGACCTAAACAGTGTTTCTGTGTAGGCGATTGTAAGGTATTATATATAGGATCGGTACATTCATAAAGTTTTATGTTAATTAGCAAAAAGTTATACATAATATATATAATTTAAATATGAAATATGGGGAAACATTTAGACTGTTTTTGGTTAACGTCCAAGGGGAAATATTTCATGTCTATTCAAGGCGAGAACAATTTAACAATGAATCTATTTGGCGGGCTCTGATAGTTGGGTCGACCGTTTCCGGTGTAACGTACAACACTGTTCAATGGTTATGAATATTATTTATACGAACAAATATCTAATGTAAGATGACAATCTTTGAGAACTAGAAACAAACAGATACACGTCAGATATCAGGTACATTTTTGTGGTCATTCGACCACATAAATCTTTACTCTATGAAGACAATGACGAAGATGAAGACGATGACGAAGGCGAAGAAGAAGAAAAAGGGTCTTCTTAAGAAGGGGAAGACGAGGGGTCTTCTTCTGATCGGCAATAAAACCCTTGCCAAAGTGGGGCGTCCGTTTGGCTGTGCGGGATGTACAAGCACACAGCCACGTCCGGTCATGATCAGAACGGGGACGTTAAATCCGATGCCTCTTTTAAAGAAAGCGCCACGCGCTCTGTACGTTAAGAACCCTTGCAACAACTCATAAGAGGTCCGTAGGTGGCTTGTTGCAAGGCAAAAAAAATTTCCCTATCCAGATCCAATTTACTTTCATTTTTCTAGTAGCAGTCCAAATTTCCCGACCTTCGTCTCGAACAGCCTCTATTACAGGACATACTTATTGTATTCATTGTTTATTTGTTCTAGTCCTGAGCATGCATGAAATATTTGCAACTGGAGGTTAAGCAACTAACAATTAACCAATCAATCAAGCTGGACAGCATACAGTGCAGAAGGCAGAAGTCGATAATTTGCATTCTCAGTGTGTTACAGACATTTAAAATCTGTTAAAAAGTTAAAAAATACAGGAGGGGCAATACAGTTCATGTTGAAAATAGCAACAACATGGAAAAAACAAAAAAGATGAAATACAAACATCATTCAACAAAACAGTACACAGAAAACTAAAGATTAAGCAGCACGAACCGCACCAAAATCTTGACAGAACTAGATAGCTGGAAGAAGAACACACAGTTTCTGCTTAACTTGTGTCATCCGTCTTAATTGGTGGTCATGGCAAGCGAAAATCCGGTGATAAAGTGAAAGTGATAACTTTATTCATTTTGTATTGGACTGCATTCTTATTTTTATTTCTCATCAGGAATGTTGCAGACCTGTCATGTTATAAGAAATCGAGTACAACGCTGCTCGTCGACTTTATTCAAGAGACTTACGACTCAACAAATAAAAAAGGAAGGTATAAATATACCTAGAGACTTCAGAGGCCATACTGCATTTGCATTGTATAATGTCCTAACACAAGAGGTATTTATTTTATAAATCTTTTTTTTTTGTTATTATATTAAAACATGCTATATTGAAAGGAAACGGGGAATGTGTCAAAGAGACAACAACACGACCAAAGAGCAGATCTAGAAAACAGCCCAAAGCCAACAATGGCTCTTCAACACAGCGAGAAAATCCTGTACCCGGAGACGGGCTTTAGCTGGCCCCTAAACAATTATGTAAACTACATGTGTAGTTCAGCGAAAATGGACGTCATACTAAACTCCGAAACAACATATTTCTGAAATTCCATATTGTATTAATCACACTCACAATCAGTTTGAAAAATAAATAAAAACAAAAATCTAAAAACATTATTCGAATGCAAGCTTTTTTTTATTGTTTGATGAACCTTAATAGCTTTTAATTACATAATATGTATGTTTCATAGGAATCCGTTCTTTTGATTGGCCGACAACAATCGCGATGCATTCCAAAATTAAATTTTATTACTCAATGAAATGCAACATTCATGACTGCACGGGTTTATGACAACGCCACAACAGTTCATAGGAAAACAAACGAAAAGCTTAATAATAAATAATATATAAAAGGTAAATTCGTGGTTGTAGCATATTCATGTAATTATAATAATTGAATGTTTCTTTTTGTAATTTTATAGGATTATAAAAGCGTTGATCGTGAGCTTCATACAGAATGTTCGTTGGTCAACGCTTTCAAACCTCAATAAAATTACACAAAGAAACATCCAATTCTTAAATACAGTTTTTTTATCATATAAGGTGTTCATGGAATTACATAACCGTGTTCTCTGTCTTAATTTTGTTATACCAGCAATATCAACAGAACTTATTTCGTGAGTATATAACTTTGTACCTCTTGTTTTATTATTTCATGTAGACTCAATTCAAGTTTCGAAATAATGACATATCTTTTATTTCTATTTAATCCTTTCCCTTAAATGTATTCCTGAAATTTGTCAAGGTTATTTTATCGTTATAAGTCGTCAAATTCCGTATTGTTTTCTACATTATTTAGATATAAAAATAAGAAGATGTGGTATGATTGCCAATGAGACAACTCTCCACAAGAGACCAAATAACACAGAAATTAACAACTATAGGTCACCGTACGGCCTTCAACAATGAGCAAAGCCCATACCGCATAGTCAGCTCTAAAAGGCTCCGAAATGACAAATGTAAAACAATTCAAACGAGAAAACTAACGGCCTAATTTATGTACAAAATAATGAAATCTAGATAGATATAAGGAAATGAGGTATGAGTGCCAATAAGACAACTCTCCATCCAAGTCACAATTTATAAATTTAAACCATTATAGGTCAAAGTACGGACTTCAACACGGAGCCTTGGCTCACACCGAACAGCAAGCTATAAAGATTTCTACTTTTAGGAATGTAATAAGTATATTAAAGTGTCAGAAGACATCGGATACGAAGCTGCCAAAGTCGGAAAAAAGTAAGGACAATTATTTTAACAACAGCAGACAGTTTTTTTTGTTGAAAAGACTATTTCTAGTCATATATTTAATTTATACAGGTCACAACCAACACCAACAACATTTTGACTGAGTACTTAAAATAGGAATTGGTGATCGCCAAAAAAGAGAGAAAAACAAATTTAAAAAGGATACCAAGGGGTAAAATAAATCATCATAAACAAATCATTAGACAGACAACACCATTGTTAAAAGAATAAAGAAAATAAAGTCCACAGAACATTATACATTTTCAATGAATTGACCACGAAAAAACACTTCATCCTACATAAGAAGTAGTAGGAACTATCCATATTGATGTTAATGTTGATGTAGGCGGTGTTTTGGAGTCGAAATCGATGATGATAATGCTATTTAACGTCCAGCGGCAAGTTAAATGCATATTCAGGACGACAACATGTTAAAGTAATATAAATATCAACCCTAATTTGTACTTAACCGATACGCTGAGCCGGATTTGTCACATGATAGTTCACAAGTTACAATCCGGAGGAAGACAGGTGTCACCCTTCCCGGACTCATTATTCTGACTATTTTTTGTACATTACAACGGTATCACACATATCCTTGTTATTTGAAACTGAGATGCTCACCGAAAGGGGCTGTTCCAAGTCAAAAGCGTTGCGGGAAGTCAGTTGCCGCTTGTCCGCCTACGAATCATTTAAAGCTTCCTCTTTTTGTTCGAATTTAGTTTTGCATGGTTACGGGACTCATACGCCAAACCCTTGAAAATTTTTTGAGTGGCCTTTTTTACTGACTTTATGAGCTTCTTTTTTTAATTTCCAATTTTATTCTTGCAACAAATTCAAAGCGCATACGACGCATCTTACGCAGCTGTTTATTTAATAATTTGTAGCGAAGAGCAATATTATTTATTTCATCCCTCATCTATGTAAATTTGTATATCTAAAAAAAAAATGAATGTAGAGCAGGAGAGTCGAATATTTTTTACTTAATGTATGTTTTAAATTGCAAGTCAGATAGTACTAACAGATGTTAGACAGAGCTCACGATGTTTATTGGATACATTTGAAGAGACAAATAAAATCTGGAACAGAATAAAGCCGTATATACCTGCAACATGGCAAAACCGGAAAGTAATAGGCTTGAATGAAAGGTAATTTAATGTACCACATTTCTAGTGGTAAAATATTAGATACAAGTTAAACAAGTTCGTTGTATGTACAGTATTTTATTAAAGTCAAATTTTATATAAGAAAAAAATATGATGATTTGCAATTTTAAATTATCATTGAAATGCACATAATATATAATATTTTAATTAATGTAAGATTAAAACAAAGGATACTAATTATTTTTTACTTAAATCTAGTGTATTCAGATTGCTGCAGTCAATGTATTTCTATTTCCTGATTCCTGATTTATCATCAAATGAAAATCGGAAATGGGAAACCACTTACTTGTAAATACTAGTATATCATTCTTTTAATTCATGAACATAGGGCTTGTGATATGCGATCTTGTTCACTTTGAATTCTCGGAATAATACCAGGAAAGGTATGTACATCATCTGGACTATTTAATAACCTATTGCGTTCCAATCTGTTCTTTAGCATAGAGAGAACGTGCTTTCCAAAAGGATAAGAGTATTAGGCTAACATTCGATGGCTTTGGCTATTGTTTTAGGTACCTGTCAGTTATGTACAATGTACTTCTCATTTAGGCAAGTACTGAAATAATGTATCTTTGGTCTTCAAATGCCTGCATTTGAGAGTTCCCGATGAAGTTAAATCCAGAAAAATGCTTAGGACGCATCAAGTTTATAAAGTATTATTTTAATATACAGGGTTGATACCGCAACTTTTGGGTGCACCGAACTTAAAAAGACTTAGTGTTATTTCTATTTTCAGTCCGATAGGGACAATTTTTAAATTGCAAGACGTGTTGTTGCTCGCGTCATGTTTCCTGAACATAGACGAACATTTGCAAGAGGTCCATAAAAGACTTGTTTTGTTCATTTGAACACCTTTTTTAGTGCCAGTAAATAATTAACAGCTCTCCCAGTCCTTATCCTATAGATGTATATCTTATATATACATGAAATGTTTGCAACCGGAGACGGAGAAGATTTTTCACTTTCGATGTGTGTCGATAGAAGTAGCTGCTCGTTTTGAAAGAAGCAGACGCTTTTCAGTCTCGTATTTTATTTGAGCTAATCTTGATAGATATAGATAAGTTTTTATTGCATGAAAAAAGTTTACACATTCCAATAAACAAAAGCGAACATTGAAGGAGTGGAATAGCAGCTCTTCTTTTTTAGTTATAAACCTTGAATAAAATATGACTCGGAGTAAATATATAATTTCGTTAGCAACTATACATGATACTAAGAATTGAATACTTCTTTTTGTAATTTTATTTGGGTGTAATATATTAAAAGGTGGCACGGTAGTATTTACATTCCGGAATTTAGGTTGCTCTTTTGTGTACCCAAGTCAATGTATCTGAACAGTGTGATTGAACAAAAAATACAGTATCTACTGAACATACTTTTCCAAACTGAGGGTTGAATCAGGTGTAGAAAAATATGAAATAATTTTACATATAGGTGAAAATGAATTTTTGAGATTTTTTTTAAATTTTGTATTCACTGCATGATAAAAGACATAAACGCACTAGTGGCCTTAGGTTAATAAAGATAGCAAAAAGAGTAAACGGTCATCATAAATATTCAAATTAATTTTTGAATATTATAATGAAAAATACTTCAGTTAACTGTGTATGTAGAATTTTGGGCAGTGTTAGAAAGGGTTGAACATTCTAAAAAGGCTATCATTATCCCTATGGGCCAGGAAATACTACCGTGCCACCCAATAGCGTTGACCGAAGTACATTTTTCCGCGCTTCATTCTAAAAATGTGCGCACAGTCAACGCTTTTACTAAAAGAAACATCCAATACATTTTTTTTGCTAGGATCATGGTTTTTCTTTTATTTACCTGTGCACTTTATTGTGGAAGCTCGTGTCATCAGGAATGTTACATTTCATTTTGAAATGAAGGTTAATTTCAGAATGACGCGAGATTATATATATTTATTCGAGATAAAAGGCATGAATTTTGACACAATAAATTAAAATGACATACAGATATAGCACTAGACATGAATAGTTACAGATACTAAAATGATTTACATGTTTACTAAACATTATGATTTAAAAAATAAAATTATGGAAATTGTCATGATATTTTAATATTAGACTAGATTTTAATAAGTAAATTTTATAGACTAGATTTTCACTGCAGATTGCTGTTACCCAATCAAAATAACGTATATAATGAAACATACATGTAATGTAATTATTTAAAAATAAATATAGTCCATATAAGTCGATAGACATCTATTTCATGTATATATGCATATGCATTGTTTCAGTTTATAAAATGTATGTAGATATAGGAAGATGTGGTATGAGTGCCAATGAGACAACTCTCCATCCAAGTAACAATTTATAAAAGTAAACCATTATAGGTCAAGGTACGGCCTTCAACACGGAGCATTGGCTCACACTGAACAGCAAGCTATAAAGGGCCCCAAAAAATTACTAGTGTAAAACCATTCAAACGGGAAAACCAACGGTCTAATTTATATAAAAACGAGAAACGAGAAACACGTATGAACTACATAAACAGACGACAACTACTGTACATCAGATTCCTGACCTAGGACAAGGGCAAACATTTGCAGCGGGATTAAACTTTTTAATTGTACCAAACCTTCTCCCTTTTCTGAAACAATAGTATAACATCACAACATAGAAAGACACACTATAAAATATCAATTGGAAGGCTTAACTCAATCAAAAAACGTAAATTAACACACAATGAACGAATAAATTTGATCTGTGATACCTGAATGCAAACACACAGTCAATAAAAATTATAAGGGACAAATGATTAATTAAGGTCAAAAGTAAATAAACAGGTTTAAACAAAGTCAAAGTATGATACCACTGTGAAATGCCAAACAATATTCAGAAAATCATCACTTTTGAAAAAACCTGCGTCATATTGTGTTTTTTTAGATTACGATTCCTTCGATATGATCCAGGGGAATATTTCAAACCTCACTATGATGGACGATATGAAAGGGAAACTGGAGAAAAAAGTTACTTTACTATACAGGTGTATCTCAATGAGGTATATAAACATTGTATTTAGATGGTTCAAAACAAAATACTAATATCTCGAATTTATGTATATCAATACAGAATCATTTAACAACACGGATTTTTAAATAGCTATACTAACTGAGGAACATGATTCTTTTTTCTGCTGTTCATCTTTTCATACGATACTTTATTGTTTCAACCCGAAATTTTTCGTACGATAAGACCCGTGCTGCGGGAGCGTCCGTTGAATTATGTTCAATGTACAAAATGGTAGTCACGACTGGTTGGAAAGAGACGTGATATGTCTTTGGAAAGGGCAAAGCTCTAGAAATGCTTAAAACAAACTGCAAAATCTGGTTGAGGGGACTGCAAGTGATCTGTAGCAAGTTAAAAATTTTGTTATTTCCAACATATCCTCCTTTTACGGCCAGTGATAGTCTGAAATTACCGCCATTCGTACCTACTTAATATACCGGTAAGTATTGGTCATTTTGTTCAAGTCCAGAATATACGTAACGCTCTTATGAATTGTTTGGTGAATTTTATCTCTTTTTAAATCCTTTTTTTGTGTGATAGCTATTTGTACTAAAACAATATTTGGTTCTTGACTTTGATCCGAAAATGAGCCTGGAGTTATTTTTTTTATTTTCAAATGAAGAATGTAACGATGATAATTCAATTTGGTTAGCATTTGTACAGCTATGCGTTTCTTTGCTTTTTTTTGAAATTTGATTTATTTGGTTTTTTTTTATCTTGACTTATGAATATACAAAATATGTTGTTCAGACTCACAAGCACTTGTCTCTGAACTTTTCCCACCTCCTATATATCTTAAAAAATAATTTCAGAGACAAGCGCCTGTGTCCAGACTTCCAAGTTTTTCTATTCATTTCACAGGGTTATAAGGGCGGCAGTACTAATTTTCTCAGCAGAAATAGGAAGGAAAAGATGGAATTTGTACCAAAGTTGGGTAAAGCATATTTCAATACGTACAATTTTGAAAGGAAATAAAAGAAGAATTACGGAAGTAATCACAAAGACATATACATATACTTAAAAACAATCACAGTTATTAGAAAGGACATTTCAAAAATAAAATAAAATCATTCCGATAAATCAATGTTTTACGTAAAAATTAACAATGTCCAATTAACAAAACAAATCACAAAAAAAACATCAAATGTTCTTTGGTAGTGTATACAAATATAATTCAGTTTCGATTTTTGATGACACATGCAAATACCGTCAATGACAATTAGCAATTTTTTACAAGCTCTAAGATTATTTTACGAGTATAAAATTCTGATACAAAAAACAGATGTAACAAAGTAAGAACTCGCATTTCCTATTTTCTAAAGACATATTCCAAACACACATATCTATATTGTTGACAGTATGATGACCATGCAATATTAGTCTTTTTTCGTGGTTTGCTTCGTTAGGTTGCTGTCTCATTGACGTTTTTACACCACATCTCTTTTTAATTTGTCTCTAATGAAAGTTATTGATTGAATTGGTCATAATTGATCGTGCACACATCTTTAGAATGAAGCGCCTTCATACAAAATGTGCTTCAGTCAACACTTTTACAACCCAATAAAATTACAAAAAGAAGGCTTTTAGCATTAATTTCTTAAATATTTAATAAGTATATATTTATATTCCAGGTTGCATTTTGGTTTTTCAACACGACATGCTTCACGAAGGTTCCGAACTAATTTCTGGTAGAAAATATACTATACGTACAGACATAATGTATAGTTCTATAACAATTTAATGTTTATAAAAGTACTTTAATTTTGATGCATTTTTATAGCATTGCAATGTTATTAATATGAATTTTTTGAAGCACTGAAATAAAGTGAATTATAGTATTTGAGTTGCAACTTCTGATATACAGAAAATTTTATGAGGCATTTTCCTTATTGTTATCTTTATTAGCGGTTTTTAAAAGTACTTAAAGCTTTTATTAAGATACTGAGAGCATTCTATGTATATTTTGTATATGTGTTGTTTAATTGATATTTTAGGTGACTTTTGGTTACTAGTAATTTTGTCTGGTTGCTGTCTCATTGACGTATAACCCACAACTCCTGTTACGTGTATTCATATTGATATTTATAAATTAAAGATAAAAATATATTACTAGTATTGAAGTCTTACTATATAAGATGGACGTTAAATTCTATGATTTGGGTAGGGAGAGTTCTACCTCCTGCGCAGGTTAAAATTACTCCTTGAAATAACTCTTTCAGGATTTGTATTAGGCCTGTTCTGCTGTCGCAAGGCAACATTTTCTGTCGCTATTCAACTACCCTTCTTTTTTAGTGGGAGTCCGAGTATCCTGTCCTTCATCTATGAACCAGGTCTGTAAAACCTACGCGTTATATTTATTCTAAACTGATATTGTCTTGAAAATGCCTGAAATAGTTGACACTGGACGTTGATTAAACAATCAACTAACCATTTAATCAATCGAGTTTGACACCGAAAAGAATAGCACAATGGATGGAAATGAATAACTGCTGTTTTCCTTAAAATGAACTAATGCCGCGGTGACAATGAAATATATATAAATTGTTTAGTGAGTGTCAGAATAGATAATAATGAGCAAAATTACAAAAGAAAAGGGCAAAAATAAAATAGAGAATAATTAGGTAATATATTATGAAGAACAGAAAATAATGGGCAAAATAAATTAAAAATGTCTAAAATATTAATGAAAAAAGAAATGAAGGACCACCATCCAGACCCTCTTAAGTGTCAGACATTATCTTTAATGTTTAATAATGTTATGTTATGTTGTGGTTTGTGTACTGTTGTTTGTCTTTTTCTTTTTTTAGCAATGAAGTTGTCAATATAAAAAAGAAGATGTGGTATGATTGCCAATGAGACAACTCTCCACAAGAGACCAAAATGACACAGAACTTAACAACTATAGGTCACCGTACAGCCTTCAGTTTATTTTCGACTTGTGAGTTTGAATGTCCCTTTGGTATCTTTCGCCTCTCTTTTATACTAAAGGAAATGTTATCTTGTACAGTCTTTAAGTTTGTTTAGTTTAGTGATGAATTTCAAAAGAGGTAAAACAGTAAATGTTCTGAACTCGGAATTGAAGTTAACGTCCATCACAAACAGTCATATTAATAATAAAATTGAGAATGGAAATGGGGAATGTGTCAAAGAGACAACAACCCGACCAAAGAGCAGAAAGCAGCCGAAGACCACCAATGGGTCTTCAACACAGCGAGAAAATCCCGCACCCGGAGGCCGGCTTCAGCTGGCCCCTAAACAAAAATGTGTACGAGTTCAGTGAAAATGGACGTCACACTAAACTCCAAAACATATAAATGAACTAAAATTAAAAAACATAGACGACTAACAAAGGCCAGAGGCTCCTGACTTGGGACAGGCGCAATATTAAACATGTTTTGTGAGATCTCAACCCTCCCCCTATACCTCTAGCCAATGTAGAATAAACAAACAAACAGCAATACGCACAGTAAAACTCAGTTTAAAAGAAGTCCGAGTCCGATGTCAGAATAGGTAACACAGTTTATACTAAAAATAAATAAAACTAATTAAAATTATTTCTCCGCACTCACTCATTTTTTATGCTTGGTCTCTGCATAGGAACATCGAGCAGGTATAAAAAAGAACAAGTGCGGGTAAGTCAAATTAAAAAAAATAGACTGTCATATTTATTTACCATAAATTCATTATACACAGATTTTTTAGTAAACAAGTCTTTGTTCAAAATTAAAAACAAAAAAGAACCATGATCAAAATAGGAATTTTCTACTTTATTTGTTTCACTCAAAGAGCAATACAGAAAGTTGTTTATAATAATAGTTTATTGAAAATAATGCACTATAATACTCCAAAGGGGTTGATGGCATACACGAAAACAAAATAACACATTACATAATACATCACAAAAATAATTAAAAAAAGACACAAATTATGTACATATCATGCAGTTGTTGAATCCACTCTCCTCAGTGACCAGGACTTTTTATTAAAACCGTACTGGAATTTGTGTATAACGAGCATATATATCAATATAGTTTATAAGACATTTTTTAACAATTTTACATTATTTAATTCCAAATAATCTAAATGTATATAAAAATCTTGTATTTTCTATATTATTCTTTAACAAAATATTATTATCCTATCTGTGTGTTTTGAATTGTATAAGTTTTAGTACTTTTTTGTTATTGAAAAAGTTAAGAGTAGTTAAAAAGCTTTGAATGTTTTTCTTTTTTTTTCTTTTTAATTGTTACCTTTTGATTTGTGAAATTGCTATATTTTAAGTATTGGGGTGCCCCTTGAGGGTCCATGATTGGTCATTTAATTCTTGAATCCTTCATCTCTTGTATCTTGATTTCACTTATTTGTTTATAAACTGTATACTGATAGACATTATATATTTTATTGATTGTAACGTTTGATTAATATTAATAAACAATTCATTAGTCATGCTCTACGGATACATAAACACTTTCACATCTTCAAATTTTTACGGTAATACCGGAATATGATACATGTCCATCGATATTTTATATATGTATTGACAGCTTCGATGAACCGAATGAAATGCTTCATATTGTGTGCTCCACTGCCCATGGAGAATGACCTGATAATCTTTCTCACGAACACAATACTATATAAGTAAACCTAGTTACCTACACAAGTTTAAGCTGAAAAAGATATATGAATGATAGCATGAATTAAAGAGGTAAGCATTTACGCAAATTGGATAAAGATGTGTAAGTTAACTATCTTGTTTGCCAAATTTAAGATAATATATACACATGTCATACTTAACGTTACATTACACTGGGAGTGGCAAGTGTAATTAGAAAAAAATGTAGCTGCTCGATTGAATTTATGCACATATAAGAATGAAAGAGATTTTAACATACAAAATTTTTTTAAAACTTGACAAAGCTTCAGCGTAGTTGTATCAAAAACAATTGAAATTTCCATTGCTATAAATACATGTATACATGAAACTGAAATCAGGGTGTCACTAAAGACCGGAACGCGTACCTGAAATGACCCCGGTGAAGTTCTATGAATAGATTTATTCAAATAACAAGAACGTTTTTATTTTTCATTCGTTCGTTTGGGAAAGTTAAATAAGTTATTAAAATGGAAAATAAAATAATGGAAAATATACCAAAACTCGGACCTGAATGGGGAGAATACGAAAAGCCCCGAATGAACTTAAACTTCTACGGTTAGATTCATTCAATTTTGAATATTTTTTGTTGTCGTATTTTACATTGAATTTCCTATTAATTTGGATAAAAAAAAATATCATCGTTTTATTAAATTTAAACATTTTATTTAAAAGAAAACATGTTTTGATGGAAAAACTTGGAAACGGACAAGGAATTGTAAGACAGGAATATACCTGAACTACGATAGATTTATTCAAACTGAAAGAAACAAAACAGAAATATTAATTTCGTTCTAATTTGGATTCTGCCAAGAAACGGACCCAACATTTGTTAGAATCATACAATTTTTGACTTAAAATATTGTTGATGACAAAACTTGAACCTGAAAAATAAAAAAAAAAAAAAACTGAAAAGACCTGAAATTCATATATAGAGTAATCAAGGTAAATAACTTTTTTCATGTGTTTTCTGTCTAAGGACAAGTATAAATAGTTAACCAGATTTTTTTTAATTTCTCAGTTTAGGTCCAAGTTTTGGCATCCACAAAAATTACTATTTTTCTTTCATTTTTATAAAATATGAATTAAATAGAATTAAGACTATGTGTCTAAAGAACACTATGCCAGGTGTCCTATAGCCATTTTTCCCCATGCTAATTTTTTCCGGGGGGAAGAACTGGATCGATCCACTTTTTTCCCCCGGAAAAATTGGCATAATCCCACTTTTCCCCCTCAGTGTGATAGGGGGAAAACCAGGATCAGGCCTATTCTTCCCCCCTAGTAACACGAGCAGCTCATTTCCCCCCCCCCCCCCCCCCCTTGTAGTAAAAGAGGGACGAAAGATACCAGAGGGACAGTCAAACTCATAGATCGAAAACAAACTGACAACGTCATGGCCAAAAATAAAAAGACAAACAGACAAATAATAGTACAGATGACACAACAAAGAAAACTAAAGACTAAGCAACACGAACCCCACCAAAAACTGGGGGTGATCTCAGGTGCTCCGGAAGGGTAATCGTGTTGCTTATGTTATTACAAATCCGGTAAATAGTCTAATTCGGTAAGTCACATTCGTGAAAAGGGAAGGGTATTGTAGTTACGACATAAGGAACATATCCGATATCATCTGTGAAACGGTTATTCCATAACGGTCAACCAACTCGTGATGGCGTCCGTAAAATTTACGAAGGGATGATTTCAACTTCACCGTTTGGAACTCTTGGCTTAATAGCTTCCTTGTGAGCAGCAATCCTCTATCAAGGAAATCATGATAGGAAACACAAGCCCGGGAATATCGTATCAATTGGGGGATATATACACTGTAAAAATTGTGCTTAGAGCCTAAACATTTCCTAAACATGTTTAAGTCTAAACATGATTAGGAAACTGTTCAAATGCTATGCACATATGATTCCATTATGTCATCAATCTAAACATGTTTAGAATTGCAACATGTAATGCCAAACATGCTTAGAGCCTAAACATGTCGTGACCTTTGCGATTCGAAAATATACCACGTGATTGAGAACGCCGCATGTTTCCGCCTGAAAATGCACAACAAAGGAATGAGGAATTCAAAATGGACCAGGAGAGCCGATTAAAAACACAACTGAAACAGGCATATATATATATGGTTATGACTTCTATTGTAAGTACAAATTGTGTATATATTATCAAAATATAACTGTTACCGTTATATACTTACGGTTTCAAAATTTTTTTACGTGATAAGGAATTTCACACTTAACCTTCCCCCTTTTTAAAGGATTCTTTCCAAAATATTACAAACAGAAAGCAAACTGTTGTATATACTTAAGATTTAGTGTTAAGTATAATAAATTGAAAATATTGTAGTAACGTCTGTGCTTTAAAACATTTACTAGGAACAAAGGTTTGAAAAAAAATATGAACTGATCACGTGATTTTCAAAATGGACAACGCCCCCCCCCCCCCTTTTTACAAACCTCAAATGTGCTCTGTCCAATAACATAAAATGAATAATGAAAGCAATAGTTTTCGTTTTATTTAAATAAGTTAGCATTCTTTATTTATTTCTCAAATTAATTAGTGTAGTTTTAATAATATTTCTGTAAATAATTTCAGAATACAGAAATGACAGATAGAGACATTACTTTTAGTTTGAATCTAGCTGGTGAACCAACAAATTACAGCACAATAGCCAAAGCAATACAAAAAAGTGCAGGGTAAGTTATTCTATATATTTTTTAGATACATGTAGTGCATTTTTTAATGTGTTATGTCTTTTGCAAAGGGAAGCTGTATTCTTTATCTTTTTCGTTCTTGATAATTTAAGACACACTTTTAGCTTCATATATTGATCACAGCCTATGAAAGCTGCTGTTTGGCAGAACAAAGAAAAAGTAAGTAGATACATATGTAGACCAAACAATTTTATTATTTCACAAAAACTGTGTTAGGAAATGTCCAGGACTTGAACACTGATTACTGAAAAGTGCCTATTTTAATATGTAGGATAGGCATGAATTTAAGGATAAAGGTGGGGCAGCAGGAAATATATGGCAATATTTATTTTCACACACAATAACGCTTTATGTCTTTTATACATTAAATGGATATGGTATGAAACAGAATGCATTGGTACAATTATTTAAGTGATGCATTTTCTATTTCAGTTTAGAAACTTAAACATGAGAAGACAGAAAGACACCTGAAAGATTATAGTGGAAACTGAAGCAAATTGATAAACAACTGCCACGGAATTGTGGAAGGATTGAAGATGGATTTAAGCCAGGACATTGATAACATCATTTTGAGACTCATCTTTTATTATAACGTATGGCAGTTATCCTATCCTAAGCAGTATCAAATTCTAGAACTTTTTAAAAGTACATTTTATAGAACATTATATGAATGCCATTTATGTAAATTGTAAAAAAGTAGAAGACATTACTATGAAGAATAACAAGATACATATATCAGATGTTTTTGTTTTTTAACTTGATGAATAAAATGTAAAGAAATCAAAATTGCTTATCTTATTTTTTTAAAATCTTTTTAAGTATGATTATTTAACATGATAGTTTACATTTATTGCATATACACGTTGTCTTGCATTGATGTAATGTGATGAAAGAAATATGGAAATACGAGGGAAAATAATGCATGTCAGACAATTTTCAAAGAGATAGAAGAATCCTACACAAATGCTTTAAAATCTTAAGTTTCAACAAAATTAAAATGAACTTAAAGTACAACTCAAAGAGGAGAACCCAGTGCCACCAGTGCTTTTACAGCAAAAGCTACAGTACAAATTTATGGAAACTATATGAATATATACATGATTTGCATTGAAAAAAGGCATGTATTGAATAATTTACATGTTTCAATTCTAAACATATTTAACCTAAACATGTCATCAGACTAAACACTTGAAGGACAAACACGTTTAGACTCTAAACACTTTCCTAAACATGTTTAGATATTAAGCATGTTTAGCCCCTAAACATGTAACCAATTCGTTAACATGAAATGTGCTTAGGAAAGTGTTTAGGCCCTAAACACAATTTTTACAGTGTACTCCGTATGCAGGCGCTGCTGGATTGTTGCTACATAGAAATGGAAAGTTCACAATTGGGAAGCTGAAATCATCTCTTTTGTCGTAAAGTTTTGTTTTCATCCGACCCTCATTGTCAATTTCTAGATGTAAGTCAAGATATGAGGCAGACTTAACTGTATCTGTAGTATCCTTTATTTCTAGTTCGATGGGATAGATTCGTTCAACATAGTCACCAAATTTTGTATTATTTAGTGAGAGAACATCATCTATATAGCGGAACGTAGAGTTAAAGGATATTGCTAACTTCTTATCTTTCTTCCTAAGAAGTTCCTGTATGAAGTCAGCCTCATAATAATAAAGAAACAAGTCGGCAAGAAGAGGGGCACAATTGGTTCCCATTGGAATTCCGACAGTCTGTTGAAAAACACGTCCTCCAAACGTAACAAATATGTTGTCAATCAAGACATCAAGCATCTTGATAATGTCAGTTTCAGATAATTTTTTGTTTGAAGAGTGATTCTTTACAAAGTAGGATTTATCCCTCCCCAAGACAAGATACTTGTATCTACGTTCGCCATTCTTTTTAATGAAACAAAGTGATACCAACTCTTACAATTTGTCTTTTAGTTTGGAATGGGGAATACTTGTGTAAAGTGTAGAAAAGTCAAATGTTTTAATACTATTGCAAGATGAGAGAGTCTTAGATTGTATGTACTCTAAAAGATCTTTGGATTTTTTTAGTATCCACATCTGATTCACGCCACCTCTAGAATAGGCAGTTTCACAATAACTTTGGAGCCCGGCTTTGATTGCTGATAAAATAGATGTTAATAATTTAGAAAGAGGTTTCGTGGAGCACTTTGAAAACCCAGCAATATACCGTTGTTTGTAAGGACACTTATGTAGTTTAGGTATCCAATACAGTGATGGAAGACCCAGTTCTTCATCTTTGGTTGAAATTCCAAAGGAACATAGAACAGACCTATGATTATCCAGGATTTCCTCTTTGGTAAGTGTCGTGAGGGTATATGTTGAGTTTCCAAGTAAATTGTCAATACCTAATTCATTTATCAAGCAGTTTATGTAATGATATTTACACACACAAACGATGTTGTTTGGGGCTTTATCTGCGGGGACAACAACATATTTGTCATGGAGGTAGGACAAGTGTTTTGCAACATTTGGGTCTTTAAAAATTGATGTAGCTTGGGTATTGATATGCCCATTTAGTTTCTTAATTCGGATTTGTATCAACGACCTCACAGCCTTAATCCATTCGGAAAGAGTATCTACGTCTTCTTTCTCGCGTTTAGCCCATTGCCTGGCATAATCCTCGACTGAATCCATCAGTATTTTGAAGTTGTATTTCCAATTGATGGATTTAGGCTCACGATATTTCGGACCGTTGGATAACAAATTTCGCAGGGAAGTGTTATTGACAATGTTGAGGTCTCCGGTAATAACGTGGCCAGCCGGATTATATGTGAATTGGGAACTAGCGCAGGTGCAATCAGGAGGTTTAGACTTGAAGTCGTCAATGTTGAGATCCTGCAAAACGTGTTTGTAATTGAAAATTTTAGTTGCAATTGGTTTGGTATAGGTAAAAGAAATTATTGGTACAGACTGATCTTTAAAATAAGGAGGTAGTTTCGACTGAACTAATTTATGATGAAGGATATTGCCTTAGTTGACGCCATCGAGACCTTTGTTGGCAAAGGAAAGTTTAAGAAAAGATCTTTTCTCTTTTTCATCTTTTCCAATGCGAACTGGTTTGAATGAGGGTTTGTAACAGTGGTTTCCAAACATAAATTGAACAGAGAATGAAGTTTTGAAAGGGGTAATGAATACAGTTTCGTAGTAACGTAGTAACGTCGGTGACGTCAGTTGGAAATTAATTATTCATTAAAAGATAGTAACCTTCTTTGATATAGTTTAGCGTTATCAAACAATCATCGTGAACACATAAACCGACCAGTGAACATATTGACAGACTGGTGGACCCATAAATAGACTAGTGGACACACACACAGACTGGTGGATGTGTAGAATTGCTGCATGTGGACCTTATATAGACTGGAGGATCTAGACAGACGTGTAGACATGTCGACAGATTAGTGGACACGTAGACAGACTGGCGGACACATAGATAGACTGGGGAACATGTCGAATGACTGGTTGAATCGCAGAGACAGACTGGTGAACATTTAGTGAGACTTGCGGAGACACACAAACTGGTGGACATGTAGACAAACTTGTAGGCATGTCGACAGACATCTGGTGATCATGTAAACGAATTTGTGGACATATACACAGATTGGTGGACATGCATTTTAACAGACTACTGGACATGAAGACAGACTAATGGACGTTTAGGCAGACGAGTAGCCATGCATAAATGAGCTTAGATTGGTGGATACTAGTATGTGATGACATCACCATTCTATCTGGCATGCACACGCCAGTGGACACAAACATAAAGTTCAATGTTTAATATAGGGTAACTCCTTTAAATAAGTTATATACATGTACCGATGTTCGTTCTTTCAGGATGTTAAATATATGAATGGATGGAAAATATTAACCTATCATATATTAATGGTTGGCAATTTTATTAAACAATACATCAATTTTCATGTAAGCCATACGAATAAATCGAATTTTTGGATAGAGTCAATATATGAATCGGGATATTTTCGAATGCAAACGGCACCCCTGTAACAAAATATAGATGACCCACCCCACTCCCCTGACCCCAGACATTTCTAGTGACACGCGTGTCACCAAAACGAACAGAGTTTGTACCAAACATTTCTTCTATGCAACCCAAGCCGAAAAACAGATTATTTTAGCATTCCAGGAATCAATCATTTCTTAAGAAAATACGAAAAATATTTGCAATAAATGGCAGAAGTTGATGTATTTATATATATATGGTGAAATCCATATTGTGGGGGAAATATTGGCATGGGGAAACGTTGCTATATGTATATGTATTGTCAAATTTCCGCGGGAGAAGAATGGCAATGATCAAAAATTTCCCTAGGGGGAAAATGATATCATGCCAATTTTTCCCCCGGGGGAAAAACTGGCATGGGGGGGGGGGGGATGAATGGCTATATAACACCGGCTCACACTATCACATTTCCATGTTCAATGGACCGTGAAATCAGTGTCATAACCCGAATTTGGCATTTATATTAAATATAAACATGTATACTACATTTAAGTTTTAAGTTCATATGACAAGGGCGGATCCAGGATTTTTTAAAAAGGGGAGGGGCGTAATTGAATAAAACGGATTATATACATGTACCACCAAGCGAAGCGATGCGAAAAATGTTTGGACGATTTTTATATACATTGTACATTGTTTTTTTATTTCAGAAAATGGAGAAAGTTAAATGTGAACCATGCAAAACCCGCGACAAAAACAACCAGTCAACTCATTGGTGTGTTATTTGTGAAGAGTCTTTTTGTTCAGACTGCACAGACAACCATCGTGCCCAGAAAATATCGCGAAATCATGAACTCATCGATATCAATAGAATGCCTATGCATACAATTATCGCAGACCAATGCTGTTTCGAACATGATAACTTGCCATTTGAGTATTTTTGTATCGATCATGATATTCTATCTTGCAAAGAATGTCTAGCAGAAAACCATCGTTCTTGTCAAAAAGTGATGTCTATTGATATAGCATGTAAAGGTGCGAAACAATCTCAGTCGTTTATAGATGCCATAGAACTTGTAGACCATGTTTTAGAAACAACACATGTAATAACCAAAGACAGACAGAGTTTTATTGAAAACATCGAAAAGGAAGCAAATTCAGTAAAAAATGCAATCAGGGAGTTGAAAGAAGAAGCGATTAGTCATATTGAATCACTAGAAAAGTCACTACTTTGTGATCTTGATCTTAAAAAAGACAAAATAATACAAAAATCAAAGGCAACAATTATTGAAACAGAAGATGTTGGAAAGATGGCAAAAGACAAAAAAGATGTCTTTGATCTTGTGGATAAACATGGTTCCGAGAAGCAAGCATTTCTTGCTGCGCATGCGTACAAACAAGATCTGACAGATCTGGAGGAAAAAATAACTGATATCACAGAAAAGTCGACAAATGCTACAATTAAACTGATTCCAGAGAGGTTACAGGAAGATATTAAATCTATCGGGTCAATAGAACTTAGCGAAGTACCTTCTGCCGTAAAATTTGTACAGAAGAAACAGAGTCAATCCCAAATGCCATTTGAGCAACATCAGAATTTGCCACACTTCATTTATAAACGAGATTTAAACATCAAGGACGATCGTACAAGTGTTAACGGAATGACAGTTAATGATGATGACGAAGTACTCATAGTTGACGGCACAAGAACTGGTGGAATATTAGTATATGATATTAATGATAGCTTCAAGTACCGAATCAATACCATATATAGACCATGGGATATTGCTATGATCCCAGGTACAAATGAAGGCGTTGTGACATCTCACCTAGACGATTTCTTACAGTTTGTCGACTTTAACGAAAAGAATATATCAAGAACCGTATCAGTTGATGGAGTTCACCAGGGAGGAGTTGCAGTCTCAAATGAAAAAATATTTGTTGGAACCAGAGGTAACATTAACATTCTGGATCTTCAAGGAAAATTTATTCGATCAGTAGAAGCACATTATAGGAAACTAACTTGGTTCATTACTTTGGATAAAATAGGAAACATCTATTACACCGACAGAGAAGTTCTGAGTTGTATTAGAAGCGATGGTACAGAAGTTTATACATACTCCACACCAGATAACGATACTCTGTGGAATTTAGCAGTTGATAACCATGGTTACATTTACGTTGGTGTAGATACGAAAGGTATATATAGACTGAAGCCGGATGGAACATTCATGGACGTCGTAGTAAAATATGAAAATACTCTTTCCTATACTGGAATTTGCTTTAATAGTGCCTGCACAAAAATGTTCCTCTGCCGAGGTGGAAGTGTTTCCGTTTTTAATCAGAAATAGAGAGACTATTTATTGGAAACTTAACAGATTCACATAATAATTCACCATAATTTGTCATTTATACAGTAGAGGAATTTGTATAAGTGACTAGTCACTTGTTTTCCAATTTTGTTTTAATTTGTATTTCTGTACATATTTATGAATTTGTTTTCATAAATAGTCTTGTAAAATCAAAAAGTTATTTTTATTGTCTATATCCGAAATGTTCGGATGACCATGGAGAAAGGTATCCATGCTAACAGTGCCAACTAAATTGACAAAAAGTGCAGCATTAATTCGATGATATATCATAATGGTACAATTGAGAAGGGCGTATTCAGGAGTTTCATTTGTTCACATTCACAAAATGTGTCTACTAGTTCCAGGTTTTTTTTTTGTACGAGTGATTTTAAAGTACGGACTAAGACATGATCTAGTCTACTGTCTGCATGATAATAATTTGGAATGGAATAACTTAGCTTTAGAAAGGGTTTGAGGGAGACCATCGAAACGAAAAATAGAAACATCTTTGGGAAGGTGACTCCAAAGTCAAACGGTTGATGCAAAAAACTATTCAAATAATTATAAATTATCATTGAATTTTAACTAATTATGTTTTTACTGGGTAACCAACCGACGAAAATATTCGAAAGGTACAGAAACACCTGCACAAAGTTTTATCCCTAAGATTGATTGATTGTTGCTTGCTTGATTATTTCATGCATATTCATGACGAGAAACAATTACGGACAAAAATGGATTGAAAAAAAATGGAAGATAATCAATACTCAGACTGGTTTATTTAGACAACAGTCAACTTGTAGCATCGAAAACGGACCAATTAAATGTCAATAACAGGATTTAATTATAAATTTTATTTCAATTCATAATTACCACTGGCATTGACCGGATAATTATATAAAACTGAGGAGCAACTTTAAATCTTTGAACTTCAACTTTTTGATTTACTACATTTTTTTTTGTATTTCACTCATACGCACAACTGACAATGAATGTTCCGTACAAGAATTGCTTTTATTAAATTCTGAAACCGGGAGTAGGTTCAAGTAGAAAACTGTAAGTAAATATCTTCTATCTTTTTTTTGGTTCAGAGTCAAAGTATGCCGATGGTGGGTTAATGGAAATCAAGCTTTCGTTTGTTTTGCTAGTACGTAAATAAAAGTTACATATTCATGGAATGAATGAAGAATTGAATGATGTATCATTATCAATCTACTTGAAAATGGATCTATAACGATTTCGAGAAACTTGCCTCTGGGTCGATACTTTTCATGTTTTCTATATGCTATAGAACCACTAATCATTGCTAATTGGGCCTGGTCTGAAAGAACAGTAGTACATATTTCAAACAAAATAGTTCCCCCAGCAGGCACTCAACGTTGATGCAACGTTGAAACAAGGTTGTTTCTCGACGTTGAAACAATGTCAAATTTATGTTTGATTTTGAAAATTGGAATTAACGTTGAAATTTCAACGTTGAAGTTTCAACATCCATTCAACGTTGATTCAAGGTTGAATAGTAGTTGAAAGTATATTAATAAAATTTATTATAAATCTACATACACATTTTTACCTGCTTTCCAAATTTGTGCTGTTGTTAGATGGTAGACAGGCAGCCTGACTGTACATGTTTTTTTTAATGTTTTTTTTTCTCCTCAAGACACATATGAACCAAATAGACAAGAGACATCTAAATAAATACATCAACTGCTACTGATACAACATTCCGTGTTTGTACAAAGTCAATAATCTAGACCAAAAACGTCATATCTTAAGATCCCGTTGGCTTCTGTGTTTCTCATATTCAAGTGTTAAATTTATTGAAACATGTGTATTTAGCTATTAAGAACAAGAAAAACTACAAGAAGGAATAGCTGAAATGATTGTGTGTGTCCACTTGTATTTAAAGATAACTATACATAATTATCTATATTGATATACAAGTGGACACCTACCATTTTTTGATATATTCTTAGTTGTAGTTTTTCTTGTTGTGAATAGCTATAAAAATACAAATCATTCAATGAATTTGATTACACAGTTTGCATAAAAATTATGACATACACTTTATTCCCACCACAGAAAGCATCACAAAACAGAAAGAAGATGTTGAATAGTTCTAAACAATTCTCACAAGTTCAAAGTAGTCCTAATTAAACGACTGACAAATGTTAAGCCCTTCTTAAAAGTAGTATATCCCAAGAAGAGTGAAGACATTATTAGATCCAACGTCTCTTCAGGATGATCGCAATACTTATGAAAATAAGAAGATGCTGCATGACTGCTAACCAGACAACTCTCCACAAATAAACAAATGTCCTTGATTATATATACATGTATATATATATATATTACCCTCACACCTATAATTGGTATAAACCATTAAATGAATACAAATTTACTGAGGAACAATATCAAATTTAGTAATACAATGATGTTTCGTTTGATACAAGATTTATTTTATAAATTCATTTGTTATCTTTGTCTCTTTTTGTCCTTTTTGCATGTCAACTTTCTTCCACCACTTCGAGATCTTTCTGCGGCAGACTTCAAGTTCAAGTCTTTATCAGATATGTGTTTCTCAGTGACATCTTTATACTTTTGCAGTATATTTAAACTCTGGAAAAGATAAGATGATAATAAATATAAATTGTATGTCCTGAAAAGATATCCTAAATTTGAGCCACTTTCAATTTGTTTCTAGAAGCAATAAAAATACAACAATAACGACAAAGCACATATAGTAATAAGGACTTTTTTATAAGGTAATCATTAATAAAAAAAATATACATCAATGTTTACTATTGGTACTTTTTGTTAATGAAGAAGCTTCTACCCTAAATTTGTAAGATTGCAGGTTTGACTATGTAATTGATAACCATGAAAACACTTTACCTATGATGTTTTTTATTGATGACTGCACAAGTCCATTAACACGAAATTGAGCTTTACTAGAATACTTTAGATAAGACAAACATAATATGGTATGTAAGATAAACAAAAATAAAATAAACAACAGATTAAACTTTGAACACAAATGATATATACAGACAAAAAAACTTACCTTTGATGATTTTATAGACTGGAATTCCCAAAACTGAATTTTGATTTTGCTCCACTTGATACATTTCAGCCATTGATTTGTTTGACAAGCTTCTGTAAAAAAAATAATACATGTTCACGATAATGGACTGCTAACATTCAGCCCAAGGTTAATTACACATTAAGGACCAGTACATGATAATGTTTTATGAGAAGGAAGTATATGAATTTTGAATGATAGTATTTACTGTGTACATGTATGTTCTCAATCATGCTAAACGCAATCTATGCTATGTCCTTAATACAGCTTATTCTCTTTGTTGTGTTATATGAGTAATAGTCTACCCTTCATAAATAATTGTCTTTGTCGAATAAACACATATTGTTGAATTTGTGTTTGCCTAGCATGTGATAATGCTATAATTTTTCTTAGTTAACTAATTGCTAAAAGTTTCTAATGTATGTCATAATGTCCTTTCAATGTTATTGTTTTCTTTTAAGTTGTGTCGTCTTTTTGTTTTTAATATTTCTATGAAGTTGTATGATGTTGTCATGTTGATTTTAGAGTAGTCATAATTGAATGTGCGCACATGGAGATGCTATGCTAACCTCATTTCTCGTATTACACAGAGATCACCTGAAGATCAGATAAGGGTCAGACTGACTTGTTTTAAAAATAGAATGACTTTTGTTGAAAGGTTAATTAGGTGAAAAGTTATCAATGAACATTCTATAGTTATCCTCTCATAGCAAGAAATAATACTATTTTGTTGAATTATTAATGTTATTGTAAAAATAGTATTATGATCGTTCAATACTTTATTGTCCAGTCGGAATTGATTGTTTATAATCGTCAAAAAGTATGTAGTTTACCAAGCCTTAAAGTTAAACCAAACAAGTACACATATATATAGTAAACACTTGGGGAAATTTACCTGATCACAGTAATGTGATCACAGTAATGTAAACGCTTGCGTATCCCCCCCCCCCTTTTTTTTCTTATTAAAATCTTTAAGAATATTAATGTTTCAATATTTACCTTAACTTTTAAATGAAAATAAATATGCTTTCCACATTAAATGCTCTTAAAAATAGTATAATTGGAGGAAATTATATATGATGATATATTGTTTATTATGGCCCTTCCATGTGTTCTGATCTGTTCTCTGGGCTACAATGTTGACGTTTTATTTTTCTCTAATTGTGCAATATTGATACCAATTCAGAGTTTCTAAATACAATTCATACATATGAAATACCGTGATAGCCACATATAAACATCTACATACCATAATGATACTTGATAAACGGAAGGTTTCTCCTCGACTTCGTTCTTTGTTGTTCTATCTTTTTAAAAACAGGAAAGGTGCGGGTTTAAATAATGCGCATGGGCAATCTTACTTCCTGTTCAAATCCCGCGAAAATATGAACAAAAATAATCGCGAGTTTTGTTAATAATTTACTATTTCAAATTTCTTTACATGTTATCTTTATGTTCAAAATATTCATTAATATTATGTGAAATAAACTAACGCATTCTTTTTCTTTTTCCCTAGAAATTCAGTATCAAACGATTTACCTCCCCCCACATACACACAACTTGAGATTAATAGTTGGTTCTATAAATAGGACCTTTTCAATGTAAAAATGTCATTATGAAATGCGGTCACTGTGTTTAGTGTGATCAGTTGTTGGCAAAAGGTATAAAACAACCCTAACTATTCGTGAATTAGAAGACCATGCATTAGCAGTCATCGACAATTATTTTTCAGTGACAATTTCAAAGAATTTTTATTTGAGATCTCATTTTATAATATTTTTGTAAAAACTGAAGCTCTATTTTATTCTTTTCTTTATTAATATATACTGCTACGGTTATGCATGTATTGCCTTCAGTTAATGATTTTTTTATAGGCCTCATATAGGCCTACCATGAGTAAATAAGTGAACGTTTATTCAATGTTGAATCAACGTTCCAATTTCAACGTTGAAATAATCAACGTTAATTCAACGTTGAATAGTTGTTTATTACTCAACGTTGAAAATGTAACGTTGTTTCAACGTTTAATACACGTTGATCACCATTTCAACCTCATTTCAACGTTTATTCAACGTTGAGTGCCTGCTGGGTCCTATGCATAGCTGTAACTTTTAAATTTGTTAAATATTTAGGTAATTTATTATCAAGTGAAAGCTGAATGACTGTGGATCATTGTAGAACCTTTGTTGAAAGATTAAATTATATTAAATAATAAAAAAGTTGTATGAAATTGAAACAGGAGGGCTTTATTGTCTGATTCTCAGATCTGAAGTACCTGTTTTTGTACTTCCGAACTTCAGGGAACCATTGCGATCTTATATGCAATTAAAGGTATGATGATTTTTCTAGCAAGGGTAACCAGAATGTATTGTTTTGACATGGAATGAGTGTCACTTTATTTGAACTTAAAACGAAAGAGCAATGAAAGCTTGAAATCAAGGAATTTAACATAGAAAGCAATGGGACCATTAATTAGTGGTTTTATTCCATATCATATATGGACTGCGCTCTGTCGTCGGACGTCAGAGCGATGTCAGACTAATTGTTTGCTATCATACCAGACTCAAGCTAGTGAACAATAAGATGAATCAAGCGAGAGAGTAATAAGCTAGCAAATAAAAAAACAACATCAAAAGCGCTACACTTATCCTGCACGAAAAACCGAAAGCTTACATGCAATTAGTGTGTTGTAAGTAAAAGCAATTAAATGCCAAATTGTAAAGGACACATTTTTGGAGTTATAATTTACTATTTTTTTTGTTTTGTACACAAAAAGTGTCATGTTTGTAATTGATGGACCTTAATGTTGACTATTTACTTCAAGTCATCATTATACACTTTTGTACCAAACAAAATTTTAATGCTCTTATATTGAAAGCATGATTCTTTGATTTCAGGATGACGGATTTGAGTAATACTTCACTACCCGGGACAAACACGCTGTTCTTTGATAATTTCCAAGTTGTGTAGAAGACAATTACAGTTGAACAAAAAAAAAGGAATTTGTATTCTATTATTCTACTAGCATAGAAAAATTGTGAAATTAATTACTGTTCTTATAGATACAGTGGAGATCACTTCTAACCTCTCATCAAATCTGTCAGAATCTGTCAGGAGAACTGTTCTAGGACAGTATGTAGAACTGTCAGCCTGACACCTTTTAGACAGTTCTAGCTAGAACAGTTCTAACCTAGAACTGATTTGGTAAGTTCTACCTAGAACTGATTTAGACAGTTCTACCTAGAACTGATCCTGACAGTTCTACCCTAGAACAGTTTTAGACAGTTCTACCTAGAACTGACCACATCTTTGGTCAGTTCTACGACTAGATGAGTTCTACGTCTAGAACAGTTCTACGACTAGAACAGTTCTACGATTAGAACTGATTTGGTCAATTCTACGGCTAGAATTGATTTAGTCGGTTCTAACCATAGAACAGTTTTAAGAACTCTTTGTCTTAAATATAAGGCAGTGGCTATTTAGCCGGCTCCAGCAAAATAGCATTCTTGGCGCTATTTTGCCGGCTCCGGCAACATAGCGATTTATATAGAGTTTTGCTATTTTGCCGGTCTTATTTCAGATTTTTAATCAAGACAACATGTTTAACCCCACCACATTCTGTATGTATGTGCCTGTCCCAAGTCAGGAGCCTGTAATTCAGTGGTTGTCTTTTGTTGATGTGTTAATATTTGTTTTTCGTTCATTTTTTGTACATAAATTAGGCCGTTAGTTTTCTCGTTTGAATTGTTTTACATTTGTCATTTCGGGGAGTCAGGATGACTCGTATAACAAAATTATTTGACCTCATTAACCAAATGTAATAACTTGTTTCCCAATCCACTATAAATAAATAATATGTTTAAACTAAAACTGACCATATTTGCACTTCATCAAGTAAATCTATATATGTAGCCGCACAGTAATTCAGTTATATTTTTAGGTCAGGATGGATTGTATAATACAAATGACAGCAAAATTGGAAAACAATGACTACAAAATTTTGTTTGCATCAATTTATAGTGCCAGCATGTCCTCTTTTTATTCAAAATATTGAATCGTAAACAAATATCAGTAGTTTTGATATATCAGACTGACTCGTTTAACAAAATTTTTTGACCGCATCAACCAAAACTGACCATATTTGCTCTTTTTTATGTAAATCTTATAGTCGCATAGTAAATCAGTAATATTTTCATGTAAGGATGGATTGTATAATACAAATGACAGCAATATTGGAACAGAATGACTACAAAATTTTGTCCGCATCAATCTAGAGTGCCATCATGTACTTTTTTTATTCAAAATATTGAATCGTTAAAAAATTTCAGTAGTTTTGATATCTCAGACTGACTCGTATAACAAAGTTATTTGTCCGCATCAACCAAAACTGACCATATTTGCACTTTAATATGTAAATCTTAATAGCCACATAGTAAATCATTTATATTTTTATATCAGGATGGATTGTATAATACAAATGACAGCAATATTGGAACACAATCACCAAAAATTTTTGCGCATCAATTTAGAGTACCAGCATGTCCTCTTTTTATTCAAAATATTGAATCGTAAACAAATTTCAGTAGTTTTCATACCTCAGACTGACTTGTATAACAAAATTATTTGTCCGCATCAACCAAAACTGACCATATTTGCACTATATTATGTAAACCTAATAGCCGCATAGTAAATTACTTATATTTTTATATCAGGATGGATTGTATAATACAAATGACAGCAATATTGGAAAACAATGACTACAAAATTATGTTCACATCAATTTATAGTGCCAGCATGTCCTCTTTTTGTTCAAAATATTGAATCGTAAACAAATTTCAGTAGTTTTGATATCTCAGACTGACTCATATAACAAAATTATTTGTCCGCATCAACCAATACAGACCATATTTGCACTTTATTATCTAAATCTTTTAGTCGCATAGTAAATCATTAATATTTTTATGTAAGGATGGATTGTATAATACAAATTATAGCAATATTGGAACACAATGACTACAAAATTTTGTTCGCATCAATTTAGAGTGCCAGCATGTCTTCTTTTTATTCAAAATATTGAATCATAAACAAATTTCAGTAGATTTGATATATCAGACTGACTCGTTTAACAAAATTATTTGACCGCATCAACCAAAACTGACCATATTTGACAGCATCAACAAAAACTGAATATATCTGAACTTTATCATGCAAAACTATACAGCTGCATAGTAAATGAGTTATATTTTGATGTCAGGATGAACTGTAGAATACAAATGATAGCAATATTGGAACACAATGACTATAGAATTTTGTTGGCATCAATTTAGAGTGCTAGCATGTCTTTTTTTTATTCAAAATATTGAATCGTTATCAAATGTCAGTAGTTTTCACATCTAAGACTGACTAGTGTAACAAAATTATTTGACCACATCAACCAAAACTGAACATATTTACACTTTATCATGTAAATATATATGGCCTCATTGTAAATCAATAATATATCTATGTCAGGACGGATTGTATGATAAAGATGACACCAATTTTGGAACACAATGACTACCATGACTACAAAATTTTGTCCACATCAATTTAGAGTGCCATTATTTCCTCTCTGTATCCATAATAATGAACCGTCACTAAAGTCAGTGGTTCGTGATGGTTTGTTTTTTAAACAAAACTATTTAACGGCATCATCCAACACTCACATGACTGATTCATATACTTTAAAAAATGAAAAGTATGAGAAGTTCTCTTTTTGGAATAGTATACTGTTAATAAATTTTGTCGAATGTTTGATTTTGTTTGTAGCATTACGTCCAGGGGCAAATATTTCATTCATGTTCAGATCGAGTATATTTTTCGGACGTCCCAGATATCATTTATAATCGTTATGGATAAGTCTGTCTAACAGGTCAGGAATAACCACCAATTGGTGGATTATACTTCAATTGACGTATAATCCACCAATTGACATATATTGGTATAGACCAATTGACGTATAATGCAAGTTTTTTGTTATAAAATGCTAGTGCGAGATAGGAGCATCATTTTGCAACTTACAACCTATTTTATGACCATTATTGAGTCCTCCGACAGTTTCAGTTTTGTCAAAGCCTGCTGCATCTCTTGAGAATGCATGTGTACAACAATTCTTTTGTTGAAACATCTGTACTATTGACCATGATTGACTTTTAATAATGAAAGTCAAGTATTAACAAAGAGCTCCATTCACCTGTGGAGTTGTACTCATAATCACATGACTACAGACAGTATTGATGTCTATTGACAGGTGACTAGTGGTAAATTTGCCAATCAAGAATTGACAAGATA